AATGTATTACTGTCTGAATTATCTGTAGTAACATCAGACTGTGTAGTCGTTTCGTACACTTCCGTTGGATTCACAGAAGTTGTTGTGGTCTCACGTACTGTTGTTGTTGAACTGACAGTAGGATATCGATCTGTAGACGTTGTTGGAGGGAATGTATTACTTTCAGAATTATCTGTAGTTTGTATAGCATCTGTTTGAAGAGTGGGATTTTCAGATGATACTGTAGATGTTATCGGTGGGAATGTATTGTTGTCTGAGCTCGTCGTTGTTTTGATAGTATCTGTTAATGTAGTTTCATATTCTTGAGTAGGATTCGGAGATTCATCGGTATAGCTTTCAGTAGTAAAAACTGATCCTCCTGTTGTACCTTCAGTAGTTGTTTCATCTTTTGTTGTTCCAGAAGAAGCTGTGGTATCCGTTGCTTCTGTTGTATGAGTAACTCTATTGCAGTTTACTTGTGAAGGCCAATTGCAAACCTAGAACGATAAATGGTTGTTATTGAGTTTCTTTCAAAACTTTTCAATAAAGAGGGTACAGATTTATTGTGTGGCACCAACGCTGAGTTTGCTGTAATTACCTGGAGTTCTTCATCAAATAATGTACCAGGTCCGCACTGCATGAGTATTTTCTGTCCATTGCTGCATTGGTAGAACTTATCGCAGTGAATCTCGTGAGGCAGCAGGAGATGTACACTGAAGTCAGCTGGGCAGCCGTTGGGGAGAAATTGCGCAGAACACGTCACAAGAAATAGTAGTAGAAGCGCACTGTACATATCTGCAAAATTGAGATTATAATTAATTACACTTAAAATAATTCTAATTCACAATTTCTTTAACTAATCTAAAGATCGCAATAACTAGCAATCGAAATTGTTCTATCATCATTTTGCTTAGATTACAGGGTCAATTTTTTTATATAAAATATTAGCAGATTTTTAGTAAATTTACTAATATTTCTTTTACCATTCCAACTAAGCTCTAGGCTTGTGGTAGGATATGGTGTACGACAATAGTCGAATGGCGCGATTCGAACCCCCGACCTCGTGATCGGAAATCCGTACCCTTAACCATTAGGCTATTGGCGCTTTTATGACAAATTATATGAAGGATCGAATATTAATTTTGGTTATAAAAGATATCACTGTTACAATCGTTTCTGAAATAATAATGTATCTACATAATTATGTACTTTAATAAAAACTCAAGGCCCGCAACGGATTTTAGTTGGCTTTGTGTTTTACGTAGCACTCCGACCATCATTACGTCGCTTGTTTTGCGACTGTGTAGTCACTGTTTGCCTTGAATAGGTATTTACTGCTTCACCGGGATTAAGGTGGTCAGGCGCATGGCGATTAGCGTGAACCTCGTTTAAGAGTAAGCATCACATCGCCTGCATCAGACTGCATTTATCAAGCAATCCGTCACTAGCGTGGCCAATGGACATGTACCTAAATCAACGTCCTTCATACAGATAGAACTTAAGCCTGAATTATCAGAGTATGCGAAATCAACTGATAAATATAATCTAATTTTGTTAATCGTTGATGGGGTTTCCTTAATCCATTAATTATTAGTACTAATATCTCTTATTTCGTATTATTTTTTGTCAACCTTAGCTGGCATTAAAGATTTTGTGTGGAATATAAAAAATAATTCCTTTTTATCAATGTTTTTCTATCTGTAATTTATTATTTATTTAACTTGTAGTCTCACTCAACTTTGTCCACGTTTAAAGTCATTTGAAAAGACTATCCGCTGTTCCTGATTTCTAATCGCATACGACAGGTTTATATGTAAGAGAAATTATTTTTTATTGATAATAATTCGATACATTCCATAACCGTAATCTAATTTTCAATATGAGATGTAGATGTAGGGATAAAAATGCTATCTTGTTTTACTACAAGTAAAAAAATATGTTTAACATAAATATTTTTTATCTGTAATCAATTACGTCAATATTTCTAAGAAATCTGTGGCACAGATAACGTACGGTTCGCAAACAAATAATTTGATATAAAATTGGCGCCATAAATCAAATGGATGTTTTTGTTAAAAAAAACATATCTTACTCTTACTTCTTACTATAATAATATTATAAATGTTTAAATGGATGGATGTTTGTTAGAAAATATCTCCAGAACGGCTACACGTATCTCGCTGTAATTTGGCATAGATGTAGAACATTATTTGGAAGAACACATAGGCTACTTATTAAGTTTTTTTTTTTAATTCCGTGCAGCCGGAGTCGCTACAGCTATATCAACATCTTCAGCTCATTACATCCCCACCGAGATGCTCGGAGCCTACCCCAAGTTAAGGGTGATCAGGCCATAGTCAACAGCGACAGCTATATATGCATCTGAATAAAACAGAGATACGCAGATCAACTAAAGTTAAAGTGCTTAAATAGTCCATATTGCACATAAACGTAGAATTCCATTGTCGTCACGTTGTTATTTATAAAAGTTGTTATCTTTGTCTTATCAAAGAGATGGAAAGAGATGACAATATATATTGTCACAAATATCAAGGCAATAAAATTCTATCATAACCTTTTTTGACACGGAATATTACTCACAACCTTTTTAGGCGTGACCTTGAACCTTACTTATTACCCTTTTGTCGAGTAAATAGTAAAGAGACAAAGAGATTAGTGTCCAATTAATATAGTTTACGTGACTGGTTATCTTCTAATTTGTTTTTTATCGAGTGATAATTTTGTGGCGTTCAGTCGTGGCCTCAACGGATTTATTGCGAAAATTGACCGCGAATTTGCATGTTTTGTAGCATTTTTCAAAGAGTTTTAAACACATTTAAATGTTGATTTATAACCTACTTCAATAAGGAGGATGTTCTTAATTTGTCTGTATGTTTTTTTTTCATTTTTTTTCGTCCGTATATTGCCCATCGCTAGACACAACTTTTTCCCTTCTTTCTGGTAGAGCTCGAATACCTTGACGCGAGAAGTGTTCGTCTTTTGAGGCTATCCACGAATCGAGCCATTTTTTGATGTCTTCATATGAGTGGAACTGTTGATCAGCCAGGCCATGGGCCATCGAACGGAACAAGTAAAAATCGGACGGCGCAATATCTGGGGAATATGGCGGGTGGGGTAAGACTTCCCATTTGAGCGTGTCCAAGTAGGTTTTAACAGGCTTAATAATAAATTACTCATTATTTTCATTGGAAATATATCAGCAAATTGCTGATTTAAAATTTGGAAAAAGCACTAACATATTTTAGATTGCTTTAGATAAAATTATAGACAATTAAATCAAAGCGTATGAATACTTTTATCTTATTGTACAGTTAATTTATTGGATATATTTTTCTAATCTTATTGATATCGTTCAATACACTTATTTTCCATTAACAAATTCAAGTATATATCGAATATAAGTCTTTATCTAATATTATCATAGACAAATCAATGTCGGCGCCCTTCAAAATCATAGACAAGAAAAGAAATTATATTTTACTATTTAAATTTTAATTTCGTTTTTTTTTTGTCTTATTTTAAGCAATAAGTATAACTCCGTATAACAAAACTGTTTTGATATATAGAAAATTGTCTGTATGTAAGAAATTTTATAATCGCTAGATATCAATCTTACTAATATCATAAACTAGCTGTCGCCCGCGACTCTGTCCGCTGGTTGTATAAAAAAACTTAATTAGTGTAGTCCACCTATCCATCCACATCTTAGTAAGTTAAATAAAAAGCAGCTCTTCAAGGCATAAATTCGAATTAAAAAATAATGATAATAAAATGAGTAAATAGTATCCTATGTCCGTCTTCTGGCTCTAAGCTACCTCCTCACCAATTTTCAGGCATATCGGTAAAGCCGTTCTTGAGCTATAAATAGTGTAACTAACACGACTTTCTTTTATATATATAAAGATGCGAATGTTTAGATGGAAGTTTGTTTGAAGGTATCTTCGGAACAGCTCAACATGTTATGATGAAATTTGGCACACACAGTCTGGAAGAACACATACGCTACTTATTAAGTTTTTTAATTCCGCGCGGACGAAGTCGCAGGCGACAGCTAGTTATGCATTATAATAAATCAGTGAAAATGACATAAATTTTTAAGGATCAGTAACCTTTATATAGACAATCTTGATCCTTTTTATAAATAAAAAATGCGCACGTGATTTCTTCAAAGATTTAAAGATTAGGAATTCTTTTAATATCAAATATGATTAAAAAATATAACATAACGCGTTATATACATGAATCATATATTAAGAGGGTTATAAGGTTTTGTATGATAATAAAAAAAACGCATTTCAAAGAAATATCAATTTTAGAATGTTGTAGAGATGACCGATTTTGATAATTTACACTAACATTATTAGCACAAATTTTATTTCAACGTATTTTATAATAGAAACTAGATAAACAAAATATTTTTAACAAATGAATACTATTATGTTCTTTCCCTTTATCAATATACATATTTTTATTGAACGTAAAAGCTAATAAAGATTGTTGAAAAAAAAACATTTTTTATTAAAACTCTACATTAATTTTACATCCTATGTTTTAAAAAAATATATAGCACGAAATTCAGTAATAATACTAAAAAAATATCACGAGCATCCAAAACCGTCACCACTAACTTAGGGTAGGCTCTGAGTCCCTCAGTGGAGACGTATAGAGCTGATGTATCCGAAACCGAAGTGATATATTCTTCAATTTAAGGTGTGTCCAGAAGGGGACGCTGGCAGCGTCGGTGGCTCAGGGGTCAAGCACTTGACTTGCAATCTGCAAGTCCTGGTTTCGAATCCCGCCATGTGCCAATGTGTTTTTCGATTTCCGATTTTATATATGTACATTTATCCGACGTTCTTACGGTGAAGGAAAACATCGTGATGCAACCTGCACATATCTGAGAAGAAATTCAAAGATATGTGTGAAGTCAACCAACCCGCATTAGGGCTGCGTGGTTGACTATGGCCTAATCACCCCTAACTTAGGGTAGGCTCCGAGCACCTCGGTGGGGACGTATAGTGAGCTGATGATGTTCAGAAGGCCTTAATGTCCGGAGTCTCTACCAACCCTTCTGCATTAAAGGCGTGAGTAATTCTTGTAAAGTGTGTGTTTCATTGAACCATTAAGTATTGTTTTTTTTTATTCTTACTTAGGCGAAGGCTGATAAGGCTTAAGTCTAAATATGACATTCTTCATTTGATACGTATGCCTGATTCAATTGTCAGATTGTAACGACTAGACAACTATCTTAGATAAAGAAAACATCAATCACACTTAGTCGGAGTATACAAGTATTGACATATTCCAGATTTTTCCTGTCATTGGCTAGAGTTTTTGCCTTACTTTCCTTTATTATTTTTTAATTTAAATAACTACTTTGTCTAATAAAAATGTGGCTTTTATGACTAGTTTGTATCATGACATTCGAGTGAGAAGAAATCTTTTTAAACACAAAATGTATTTTTGACAAAAGAGTTTATATTACACTAAGTGAAAAAAAATATTAATTCGACTGGAGCAAGAGACTTAAATGTAGAACATTGCTTAATAATAAATAGTTAAACAGATCTTCATCAAAAGCTTTTATCATTCAAACAACTTTAAACTTTACAACTTCAATTCGGTTATTTCCGTTATAAAAATTCATATTTTAACCTTTGTCATGTTGGTATCATTGGTTATATTGACATAGACCTTCAAAATGCAATTTAAATAACATAATCATAAACATGAATCAAAATAAATCTTTACAACATAAAATAACTGTAAAATGTAAATAGTCCCGTAATAAAAGTAATAAAATACGAGTGCTTGTAATTTAAAAATCAAGTCGTCAATCAACGCAACATGATTACGACAAGGAATTTATCTGTTTCCTGCCAACATTAAAGGCTGATGCACCGACAAAATTTCATGTACGTTTCAACTATAGAAATATCTTTACAAACATATTGTCATCTCTTTCTAATCATCTCCCTGTCTCTTTCACTTTAGATTTTATTTCCCTCCAAATCTATCTATCAATATGCTGTCAATTCCCCATCACAAAACAAAAGAACAACGATCTTACTAATATTATAAATGCGAATGTTTAGATGGATGGATGTTTGTAAGAAGGTATCTTCAGAACGGTACGAACGGATTTAATTTGGCAAAGATATAGAGCATAGACTGGAAGAAGACATAGACTACTTATAAGCTTTTTTTTAATTTTGACTTCGCGTGCGACAGCTACTTTTTGTATTGATTTTCGTCAGTACAAAGAATTTTATTTTTGTCTAAAAATGGATAAGTAAAAAATAGTTTTTACATGCTTGTTAGATGTTTAAACAGATAAAAAATACTCTATTATTATTCAAATATAGAAATTCTTTTTTTCATTTAAAAAAATGTCAAAAACTATTTAGTAGTTTTTGAGTTTATTATATACAAACAAAAGAATCATTTCATAATATTGTTAAAGATAAAGAATTGACGTAACTCTTTACTTCACATGGAAACTACAATATTTACAATTAGATTTAATATTATTATCATTGAATTAATTTTCAATTAATAATTAATCCACGTTAATCTACATACATGTGTGAGAGTTATACTTTGTCTATGTTATCTCGACTTTTAGGTTTACTAGCTACATGGTCAATTTTGACGTAGAAAGATAAATCTACTTTTTAGCCGACTTCAAAAAGGAGGAGGTTATCGATTCGTCCTGTACGTTCTTTTTTATGCGTGTTAACGCGTAACTCCGCCCCTGGTGTTCCGATTTTGAATTTTTCGTTACTTTTTTTTTCGAAAATGCAATGGATTGTAACATCTTTCTTTATTGATATAATTTCCCGAAATAATATGTTTAAGACCATTTATAAACTGTGTCTTATATGATTGTAAATAATCTTACACGGATTAGAATTGCCTTAACCTTTTCGAAAACTTTTATCAACAGAAAAATGGAATTAGATTTCTATTGAAATAGATAAAAATCCTAGTTTCTATCTAGTTTCTACCTAATACAAAACGCCAAATTTTCCACAAAAAATAAATCTCGTATTAAAGTGGCTTAATATAATGATTAATTGATTCTATTATATCGGATAGATATCTGAATATCATTAACTAGCTGCTAGTCTCCGATTTTGCTTGCGTAAACTGTAAACATATTTTTATTTCTAGCATACAAGAAAAGATATGCTCATAAGCGTTGTATGAAGCGAAAATTCTATCCATACTAAGTTATAATAAGAGATTTGTTTATTTATGACGAATGAACTCAAAAACTACTTGACCGATTTTAAAACTACTTTCGCCATTTTAATCTCACATCATCCCTGAGTAACATTAAGCTTTTCTATATTTCATATTGTTGTAAAATGCATGTATAAAGCCATACGAAGCCAGGACGAGTAGTATCTCTAAAAATACAGCTGAAGGCTTTAATTATCTTTTAAAAATATGCGTCACATTACAATAACACTGTCCACTTTCGTATTACATTAAATCAAAAAAGAAAAAAAACGCGTACATTAAAACCTTTTTGTTCATTTTTTGTGTATTCCTTTTCTGAAAAAAATAAAATTAAATAACTTACCTATTCACATAGTTCACTTGAACAAAAAACAGTAGCGTCTATCGCTTAGCAGTATAACAAATGATATGTCTAATTATCTAGAATTTATATTAATACGCGATAATATTGATTATATTAATTGAATCTCTGGTAAAATGATATCATTATTTGAAGTAATAAAATCGAAGTTACATTGATTATTTCACACCTTATCGAATGCTTAAGTGACAATTACATGTGTTCTTTTTTTTTTAATATTTATAAGAATTCTTTAAGATATTTTAGGGGGGTAAATGATGAGGCACAGATATATATAACCTATAGATCAGTCTTTCCCACAGTGGACGATAACGCCCCCTTGTGTACGCTGCAGGTCTCAAGGGAGTAAGAGACCCGAAAAGAAAATGGAGGCGTTGTGTAGAGGCCTGGGGGTGATTTGTAATTTTATTTAGCTATGAGGTCTCTTAGACAACGACTGCATGTGCTCTACTCTCAACAACAACTTGTGAACATCAACTAATACTCGTATGAATTAAAAGATTGCTTAAAGTCTAATATGAGTCGCTATAAAAATATTTATTCTCAAAGTAAGCAGTAGACAAAATAAGTTTGGGAACCTCTAATATAGATGAAGTGTTTCCATTTGATGTCTGATCGAGAGTCGATTTTGTATTGTAAATAACACACTGAGAAAATGAACACTAAGAAATGACCTCCGGAGACTGGCTACAATTCTGTGTTCCGGTTTGTTATAAATCTGTGACAATCTAAGACTAATGGTTGGTTTCTGAGACAATAATCCCGGTATAAAACATATCGTCATCCCTCTCATTATCTTTGAAAAAACAGAGATAACAATATTTTTTTTACAGGAGGTCTCGGAAACAGTTTTAACAGTGGTAGAGCCCGCTTTAACATCTTCGCACGAATTGTCCCGGCTCGCCCGGTGAAATACCACGACCACACAGACGACACGCGTCCAGTGGAAGGAATTCGGAAAAGAGAACGTCGGAAATATGTCGAATAGAACATCGAAATTCGGTTTACGTAGAGTCAAACCCGTAAGTATTTAAGATAAGACCGGTTTGTAATATGAGCTAGTTCGATATATTTTAGATTTCATCATCAGCGTCCATACGTCCCCACTGAGGGGCTCGGAGCCTACCCTAAGTCACGGGTGACATTGCTACATGGCGGGATTCGAAATTGCTTAATTTTGTTATTTTCAACGACCGCCGAGCCTTAAGTATACAGTTAAGAATTAACTTCTCTTTAAAAAATTAGAGTAACAATATCTTTGTAACAGTGGAAGCCCACCGTAAACATTTATCTTTTAAATTGTCATACATGTGCCAGCTAATTATTTGAACACGACTTTTAACTAGTTCCTGACTAAAATGTTGACAGGTAACACTTAAAATCGATGTTTTTGATAAAGATCTTTAAGATATCGGCAATTATAAGATTTTATCAGCTGTTATTTCCATATATAAGATCTGGTTGTATGATAAGTACATACATATAGATTTTAATGAAATATCAATTTTGCATTAAAAATGTCATATTGTCAAGTTACCTGTTAAAATGTGGCCGCCATTTTTATTAAAAAAAACTCTATAGAAAATCAACTATTTTCTCGAACATAAAATTGCATAACAAAGGTGACAAACGAGCGAGCGGCCATCTGATCGCTGAAATAGCGAAGTGACCGTTACCCATAGACATACGCAATTGCATATGCGTTGCCTACCTTTAATCGACGGAGGAGAGGATGCACAGAAATAAAATATTTTCCCTTCCCATGCATCATCTCATCCCGAAAGTCCACTTCCACTTCTAGGGAAGGGAAAAAGGACTAAATTAGGCCTCCGGGACGAACACTCATCAGACGAAACGCGGAATTGCTTTTACTTGACCCGTGTCTTCTGTGTGGTCGTGGTATTTCACCGGGCGAGCCGGGACAATTCGTGCGAAGATGTTAAAGCGGGCTCTACCACTGTTAAATTTCTATAAGTATATAGATATATTTTATGACGATAGATTTTGTTGTCAGAAACCCACGGTGATATAACATGAAATCATAGCGGCTTATCTAAACACTATTTATGGCTGATAAATTATTTTATTATTACTAAAATATACCGTGATTCATAAAAAATGTAGCCGAATCTTTTAATTGTATGTAGGTGCGGTTTTTCGTGAACAAAGAAAACTTTATTTCGAAAGAGCAGCATAAAATGGCGTTGTGTAAATGGCCAGATCTTTGAATTGGCAACTTCACGACGATTCTCTAGTGTGCTAATAACATCCTACTTAAGTTTTATTTAAGCTTATATATTCTTCTAGACTATGTTCTACATCTACGCCAAATTGCATCGAGATCCATGCAGCTGTTCTGGACATATCATCTAACAAACATCCATTCATCCAAACATTTGCATTTATAATATTAATAAGATAATGATGTGTCATGTTTCAGATACATATACACTATTTTTATTTCTTACTTGATGAAGTAATCCTCAATTTAGATAAAGAAGCCCTCAGAGAACTGAACGCCGCGCCGGAAACATAGGCTTTTTTTATACGAGAAAGCAGCAAACGAATAGCGGAAACATCGAAGTGTTCATCGATGTTCATAGACATCCACAATACAAGAGGAACCGGAGATGCGTTGCAGACCTTTGAGATGATACGCGATATGTTGATTCGTTTCTTTAAAAGTGTACCCGGACTGAACACTTGTCCTATCATAATGACGAACATTTCCAGTAGTTTCTGAGTCATTTAATGATTACGCATAAATACCTCTACATCTGATAACGTGCATACAAACACATATACAGAAGCAATCATTTGCTAATTTAAGATTATAGCTGTCGCCAATAACTCCGTCTGTGCGGAATTAAAAAAAAACGTAATAAGTATTATAGTCTATGCGTTCTTCCAGACGATGTTCTATGTTTATGCCAAATTTTAGACGGATCCGTTCGGCTGTTCTGGAGTTATTTTGTAAAAAACATCCATCCATCCAAACATTCACATTTATAATATTAATAAGATTATTTGTCATGTCCATTAAATGTACTATACTTTATGTATTATTATGTAACTTCTAAATCAAAAATAACAAACCTTTTTTTCTCGTAGGTTCCCTCCAAAACTCAACTTGCGAACTCAAACTTTACCGTCGTCTTACACCCCCTTGGAGTCATCCGTAGAAAAGAAAAACCAAAAAAAGATGGATTATTTGGAAGGGGATATGCGTAAAAAGATATTTAAATCAGAAAATTATTTAATCACTTTGTGGTTGCGTTTATAGTGTTACATTTTTTTTTAATGTTTAAGCTTTAGCTGGTTTTTTCTCAGCTTTTGCGGCTGGCTTTTTAGTATCTTTAGCGGCTGGTTTTTTAGCATCTTTAGCGGCTGGAGCTTTTGAAGGTGCTTTACCGTCTTTCTTCGGGGGCTGAGATTTCTCTGGCTGCTTTGGAGTTGATTTCTTTTTGCAGTCCACCGCCGATGGCCAGTTGCAAACCTAAGATTTTAATAATTATCTTTTACTAACTATCGCCCGCGACTCTGTCCGCGTTCAATGAAAAAAACTTAATTACTATAGTTCCCGGCAATTACTCGAATTTTTCTCACCTTTTAACCCTTCTCTAGACCATCACGAACATTTCAAGACCAAGATAAGATAAATCCATTCAGCCGTTCTCGAATTTTATCGAGACTAACGAACAGCAATTGATTTTTATATTTATACTAGCGGACCCGACAGACGTTGTCCTGTCTACACGTCTTTAATTTGAATAAATTAATATGAAGTTAATATTTGATGAAAATTGTGAATCTAAACAATTCCCAGATCCCCTTGAACACACACAAAAAATTTCATCAAAATCAGTCCAGTCGTTTGAGAGAAGTTCAGTGACATACACACTCACAGAAGAATTATATATATAAAGATAATGAGTTTACTTCTGTAATAGATCTTCTAGCATCTTACTAATATTATAAATGGGAATATTTAGATGTATGGAAGGTATCTCCAGCTGCACGGATATCGCTGAAATTAGTCATAGATGCAGAGCAGTTTGGAGGAATATATAGGCTACTTATTAAGTTTTTCCCTCAATCCGCGCGAACGGAGTCGCTAGCAACTGCTATATAAGACAAATTATACTTAGCTCTTAGTCAAGATTTTTTTTTATCACTTTTTAACTCAAATAATATCGATGATTATTGTTGCATTGTTATCTGTGTTGATTTTAATCGTAATTTACCTGTAAATTCTCATCAAAAACAGTGCCAGGTCCACAGGTCATTTCGAAATCATGCCCGTTACTGCATTGGTAGAATTTGGCGCAATCTGTCTCGTGTGCTCGCAACGGTTTATTAGGATTCATCTGGCAGCCATTTTGGGCAAAACACGTTGCAATAAATAGCAATAATATATTAAATTGTAGAAATAGAATCATGGCCACAACTTTTCTTATTGAGAAATGTAACAATTATAATTGTGTTACTAAAATGAAATAACATTTTTAACGAATTTTTCGGTTAAAATCCGTAAAATTATTTTTTTTTATCTTATTAATTTTTAATCAAAATTCGTCAGGCAAGGATTGATTGAAGATTGTTTCAGTTTATTTTAAAGAAATTAGCGTTAAATATTTACACAGTAGAAACCTACACTAACGGCCTCTTTCACTATGTCTGTTTGGTACTACTGCACCGACGGCGGGGCAGCAGTGCTGGGGGTCCCCCACCCGCCGTCCCGCGCGGCCTACACTCTGCATCTACTAGTTGCGCCACGCCATCCCGCCCGAAGACATACATGTCAAACCATTTATGTGTTTTTATAATCCTTTGCACTACAATTGTCATTTTGCCAAACAACCTTTCATTTCACTTGCTCAACAATGTCCTGAATAAGCTACTTTAAACTTATTTATCGTATAAAGTCGTTGGCGTTTAACAATCCAAATAAGCTGTTAAACGGAATATATTTTGTCAGGAAAGATTGTGTCAGTTCATTTATTTGTTAGTAATCCAGCACATTACTTGGACATTGTAAAACAAGCCCTTAGGGTATCATCATAAGTTCTTTATACATCCCCATTGAGGGGGGCAGAGCCTAAATTAGGGGTGACTAGGTCTTAGTAAACCACACTGGCACAGTGCGAGTGCATTTTCAATTTCTTCTCAGATATGTGCAGATTGCATCACGATGTTTTCCTTCACCGTAAGATAACGTCGGATAAATGTACATATGAAAATCGAAAAACATTGGAGAGGTCAAATAGAATTAAAGCCAAGATTACACACGACAAGTGCTTAACCCTTAAGCCGCCGTCACCGTTATGTCTACAAAAGTCATAATAAGTAGAAAATGAAACAAATATTAATTTTCCCGACTTATTTATTAAAACATGGCAACAGTATTCTTAATACTCACTACTACTTACAAATGATTTAGGCTTTATTCCAATTTTATCTAGATTTTAGATCGACACTCCAAACACACATCAGGTGGGACAAAAAAAAGACATAAAAAGCCCATATTATCGATTCAAATCTTATAAAAAACTTTATTTGTACAAGCATTTTACGGCAATATAAGATAAACTAACCTCGCCCACTGGCATCATTTGGCATATAGATTATAATTATGTCAGATAATAAAAAAAAATCACCTTTTAAATACCGACAAACCGATCTGATGGTCGTAAGTATCACTAAATTACAATAGCTCACTAGCGCCTTCTGTCAAATTCAAAAAAGTGTCACAAGTTTCTTGTTGTACTGTACAGACCGACAAGGATATCTAACCCACTGGACAAAGGTCAAACTAAACTATTATAGCTCACTAGCGCCTTCTGTCAAATTCAAAAAAGCGGCACAAGATCCTTGTGATATTTTTTAAACCGACTCGAATATCTAATCTGGTGGGTAAATTAGCGCTCTCCTGTTGAAGTGCTATCAGTATCACAAGCTTCTATTCGTACTGTAGCTGCAATCCTATGTTTTTTTGTTTAATGACATTTTCTATCCATGTAGGTTTTATATATTTCCTGACAGAACAAAACGCGATAGTAGCGCCCCTCACCAGACATGTTTGTCGGACGAAAACTGAATTTAAACCTATTTTAATATTTACTTAATCAATTTATTTATGACAATTTAACACATATTTGTAAATAGATGAAAAAATAAACGATAAATAAATAAATTATATATTTATAAAAAATCTAACGGAATGAAGAAAAATAGATCTTAATATCGTGACTATTATGTTTTATATTTTTAATGACAAGCTAATATTTATATTAAATAAAATAACAAAATATTAAACCATATAATTAAAAATAAATAACGTAACACAAAACGAATATACAATTCCAAAGCTGCTCCAAAAAAAACGAGAATAAAAAACTTAACACTTTTAAAAATAAAAACAATATCAACACAAAATACTTACGAATTAAAGAAATATATAAAAAGTATATTATCAAAATATTGGTAACCAAATAATCACTAGAACGTTTGACAAATTAAAAAAACAATCCTTATACGGAAGTATTTCCTCATTGGTGAAATGGTAACCAAACTTCCACTAATACCCTCCCACCCCTAAATGGCATCCCCCCCATCTCCCAGAAAAGATTTAACCCCATCAAACCCTTATACAATAATACTGAATTAAACCCCATACTACCAAAGGAAAGTTTTTTTACTTATTCTTTACAATATCTAAGCCTGAAAATACTCAAACTAAAATATGAAATCATAGAAAAATGTACAAAAAAGAAATCCGTAAAATATCTAATGCAATAAACAACCTTATCACAAATATATTAAGTGTTATTTTCTAATGCATTCCATTTAACTTGCTACCAAACGTGCAGTATCTACAACGCGCGCACAATAACAAGATACATAAATGAAAACAGGGGAAGGGAGATCCCTTCTGCTAACATATCTCGTATAACCCTGAAATGTCTCAATGTGGTAGATAAATTTGTGTATACCGTTTTGACGTCATTGGCAATACACTTCATGTTATTGTGCACGTATAGTACTAATACAACTACACGCATACATTCATTTACATTTCAAGTAAATTCCCTTTTAAATGTTTATGCAATGAAAACCCACTGTAATATTACAATACATGCTGATACTTATAAGCTTTGTTTACCGTTCAGGTATAGACAGAGATAACAAATTACATGAGTACAAAATTGTTGCTAAAGCTTTAATTGTATAGAACGTAAGAGAACTTAATATCTGCCACTCTCAGAGTCTTGAGATCCCACTGTTAATCATGATATCCCTTTCATTCTCTTGAAGTAAGAAAGAGATAGCGATAGCGTTACTTCGAAATTCAATGATAAGCAAAGTCTTATTATAAATTTCTTACTATGGGTTTCTGAAACCAAAATCTCTGGAATGACGATATGTTTTAAACAGATATTTTGGTCTCGGAAACCAACCGTGTGGCACTCTTAACTTTGAGTGTGGCAGTAAATGTTTAAATTATTTTTCTTACAAAACTATGTTCGCAAAACAGAACAGCAAAAGCCGTGGAGTAACCACACATACATATACATAGCACAACACACACATACAAGATTAAATACGCACGTTACCGTCAGATCCGTAAATATTTCTATTTCGTACGCGTTAATAATAAAAAAAAAGAAAATTAAAAAAAAAACTGAAAAATCATTGTGCAAATGCATTTGAAATTACTTATATCTAATTTATGTAATTTGAGAAAATTTACAGTCGAAATTCAATTTAATTAAATATCTTATTAAATAATATACATAATAAAAATATTAAATGGCTTTGGATTAAGACTATTATTGAATACAGACTCTTATTGTAACTAGTGAGGGGGGAAAATCTATCGATATTAGGGTTCTGAATTGAGATCGATTTTTATCGATATCGATTTTATTTGAAATACAGTTATATGTAAATTACAATTAGTATTCGGACACATATATTCGATTTAAAAATATATATATAAATATATTACAAATGTTTAAAAGGGTTAAGCTATTAATATATAAAGAAATAGTACATTCTACATGTTACAGAACATAATGAAAAATAATTATTTAAGGTGTAAGCACATAATACATATATTTAATAGATATAATAGCTAAAAAATAGGCATAAATACATAAACTTATTGTCAATAATACAATTCAAATTAAGAACGAGATAATTTTTAGGGTCAGCTAAGTAATCGATATTCAAGAAATTATCGATATCTATTGCAACTAAACACATCACTATCGACAGTCTTAATAAATCGATTCCATGGCAATTCATAAGGAACTGATTTAATTATTTTTTCAATTTCACACCAATTCATATTCAATATGCACTAAAAAAACAGGGCACTGTAACATTAATCGTTAAAACATATTTTCAAGGTCACACTATCAAAGCACACTTAAAACATCTATTTTTATTTTAAATCATTAAATTTTGAACATAAAAACACTATTCCTGATTCTGCATCTTTCTCTACATATTGTCTATACACTAAGCAATCATTTTTGCAAAATCCCTCCATACATTATCATTTACATCCATCCACATTCATCCAAATCCTTGATAAAAACATCTACCAATTACAATGCCCTGTTTTTAATGAAAGCCTTAGTGCTTTGGCGTGCGATAACGTCGTCTCTGCTAGTACCTGTAATAATTGGGCTTGAAGGGCCCCACCTTGTTCAGACCTAGGTACTTGGCCTGCTCATCAGTCAGCTCCGTCAGATGCGCGTCAAATGTCGGCAAGTGGAGACTCGCTACGTATTCGTCCATTTTCTTTGGCAACAAGTATACGTCCGCCTGCAACATACATTCATTGAACGTATCGTTTGGGATCTTTGACTTTGAATCTATAATCTTAATAAATGGATAGGTAGGAAATTTCAGCTTTTTCTTTGTTCCGACTCAAACACTCCTATTGAAGTTCCTAACAGTTAATACTATCTATTATTAGTTCAACACTCGCTGCCAAATGCAACCGTCAGCGTCAAAATGACGAAAATCAAATACGCACTAAATACCCCTGTTTATAGCCTTTTTTATAACAGAAGGGGCCAAACGAGCAGCGGGAACACCAAGGTTTTCAACGACGCCCATGGACATTAGCGATACCAGAGGAACCGCAGATGCGTTGCCGGCCTTTTAGGTGGTGATAAGCTCGCTTCTTGAAGGACCCTAAGTCGCAGCGTTTTGGAAATACCGCCGAGGACAGACCATTCCACAACGCTGCTGTGCGAGGCAGGAAGTTTCGCGCAAACCGCACGCTTGTGGATTGCCATCCATCGAGATGGTGTGGTTGGAACCTGGCGGTCCATATATAGAGGTCAATGACTGACTCGCACATTCATCATACATTAATTCCTTTCTCCATTATTTTATTACTCTTTATCTAAATGTATAGATTAAATGATACAATCGAATCTAGATAAGCATGAGTCCAAGAGACCACGAAATTATTCTCGCTTATAGAGGTTTCTCTCTTACTCGAGTTTCTCGCTTTTGAAGGTTGACCGTCGGAACCTAATGACTCTCGCTAAATCAGGTTCGATTTTATATCAAACTAACGATCGCCAGCGACTACGTTCGCATGGAATAAAAAAAAAACTTAATTAGTCCCCAGCAATTATTATTTTTCTCAGCTTTTAAACCTTCCCTAGACCTCCACGAACTGAAATGTTAGACCACGATAAGATAAATCCGTTCAGTCGTCCTCGAGTTTTAGCGAGACTAACGAACAGCAATTGATCTTATATATAAAATTCTCGTGTCACAATTTTCGTTCCCATACTCCTCCGAAACACCTTGACCGATTCTCATGAAATTTTGTGAGCATATTGAGTACGTCTGAGAATCGGACAACATCTATTTTTATTCCCGCGCGGACGGAGTCGCGGGCGACAGCTAGTATATATATATATAGACTACCTACCTTATACCTATGCTGCGGTGCGTTGTATAACTCTATAAGGGCGAGAGCTTGTGTGGCCGCGGTCACTGACACCACGAAGGAAGGTAGAGAGGAGCAGCAGAGATTGGCCAGTCGACCCTCGGCCAGCAGCACTATGCGTTTCCCATTCGGCCAGATGATATGGTCCACCTGGGGACAACACATTTGTAGGGTAGACGGAAAATATACATACAAAATGACATCTCAACTGTGAGTTTATATTATTAGATATAAACTCGTATAATATTAACATTTATTTCATTTTCTTTTGTTAAAATTTTAAGTTAATCTTTATGTTATTTTGTAGTACAATAAAATGACAATTTCATAAAAATATCTGTAAGTCAGTCGTCTCTTATAACGCATAGAGTTAAAACTGGATAAGCGAGAGTCTAAATTACCGGGATATTTTCTCGCTTATAGAGGATTCTCTCTAACCAGTTTCTCGCTTGTGGTCATCCGTTAAGACCGGACAATGACTCTCGCTAACCCAGATACGACTGTATATGAAAAAAGTGTTCCTTTCTTAAAAATATATATCTTCTTCTTCTTCTTTTAGTTACTAGTGGACCCCATCAAATATATATATAGCGTATATTGACGCTGTCAAAACTGACAATTAAGTATATGTTACATATATGTACTTTTACATAAAAAAATATGTCACAATACTTAATAACAATGATAGTACGTAAATCAGATATAGATTTAATATATATTACGTAGTAGATAAAGTTATTTTTGATTTTCCACGACTTTGAAATCAATATACGTATTGTCATTTCCGATCGGATTTAATATCGATAGTGATCTAATAAAATCATAAATAACATCACACAAAGACATACAGTTGTTAAATAATATAAAATAAGCTACTTGTAAAACAGTCTTATGAAACATATAACCATCTCTCTCAAACTTACTGAAAAAAAACTGAGATAGACATATTTTTGTACAGATGATTTCACTGTCAAAACTATAAGTACTGTCCATCAAATCAATCAACTAATCGTTGGTTTCTGAGACCAAAAAATCTTTATAAAACATATCGCCATCCTTGTCATTATCTTTGACAAAACAGTGATAAAGATATGTCTTATACAGTGAAATCGGAAATCAAATAAGACAACTAAACACCGAGAAAAACGAAACAGTTTTCTTTTAGTAGATGTAAACGAACAGGCAGCTTTTTGTTGGAACAGATAAAAAGGAGAAAAGAGATGGGAAGAGAAATGCTATTCCTTACTTCAGTAAGGTTGTTTTATGGGTCATGAGAGATAAGTCACTCGAAGATTTTTTTATCACATATTTATTGTGGTGAGGTTTTAACTGGCAACAAAAGTTAAAAATGAAAGCACGGGCAAAATTCTACTACAACACCAAAATGCGGTTACCCACCTTTTGGTGGAGGCCCGTGTTAGGTTGTGAACTATTGAGAGGCTGGAAAACAAGAAGAATAATCATTCAACTATTTTTCTCGAAAAAAAACTATGGCCTTTGCTTGTACTGGAAATATTAACCGAAAAAAAACCAGACTTGAAGAATTATGTAAAAGTAATTTAGGATGTATAAAGCTAGGTAACACGACAAATATGAGTACATGACGCTATTAAATTACGGTAAATAATCATCCAATCAATCAATCAGCGTCGGTGGCTCAGTGGTAAAGTACTTGGCTTGCAATCTGCAGGTCCTGGGTTCGAATCCCGCCATGTACCAATGTGTTTTTCGATTTCCGATTTGCATATGTACATTTATCCGACGTTCTTACGGTGAAGGAAAACATCGTGATGCAACCTGCACATATCTGAGAAGAAATACCATGATAGGAGTGAAGTCAACCAACCAGCACTTGGCCAGCTTGGTTGACTATGGCCTAATCACCCATAACTTAGGGTAGGCTCCGAGCCCCGAGTCCGAGGTGGGGACGTATAGTGAGCTGATGATGATGAAATAATCATACATGCAAACGACAAGACAGACAGACAGTCAAAGAAATAAAAAGCCTCACAACAAAGTAACATGCAAAGTCAAACAAGGATATCTGAACCGGTGAGAGGCGCTACTATCGCGCTTAACCAGATTTTGTATAAAACCTACTTATACATAGAAAAAGACATAATAGAAAAAAAGCGGACGGACAACAGAGTGATCCTATAATTGCTTTTTTATTCTTTCGAGCTCCGAAATCCTAATAATGACATGACAGCTACAGTATAAAGAGCATCTTGTGACATTTTTGATGTTGTAGGAGGCGCTAGTGTGCTGCCATAATTTAGTTTGACTTGGCTACCGGTTTCTGTCTTAGCGGGCTACAATATTGATTTCTATAGATAGGTAAATGCTAAACAAAGTGCATTCGCTCCGAAGCGATTCCACAATGAACTTCAAAAATGCATAGAACCGACATAACTTTCGATATTTCGGGATTCGCGACGTCACGTGATTGTCGCGCCTCAGTTCCATACATTTTAAAGTTCGTTATTTCAAACTTTATTAGTTAGAATCCTTTGGCGCGTATGACGTGCTTTCATTACAAAGTTCAGTGTCAGAATGATTAGTGAGGGGACATAAACGTCGACATTTTGGTAAGGCTAGTGTTGTGCCAGTATACCGGCAGTGCCGGATTTTCTTCCTAACAGTTACGTAATCTTTTCGGAATGCATTTTGTTTAGTCCCTATTGAAATAGGCACAAGATACCACATGTTATAGCCTATCCATTTGTCAGTGTTATAATCAAGTTAGGACATGTCGTGATGACGTCAGCTCACCTGACTGCGCACCCTCTCCCACAGCAGGTCAGGAGTGCGGAGCGCATGCACATCCACTTCTGTGTTGCTGTGCCCCATGTTGCACACCACGCAGCCGTTCTTCATGCGCTCCATGTGGTCACGTGTCACCACGCCCTTGTTACCGGTCGCCGTTATCACAATGTCCACTTGTCTTATCACCTGTACAACAAAATATTACTTATAAACTAGCGGTCGCCAGCGACTGCGTTCGCGCGGAATTAAAAAAACGTTATAAGTGGCCTATGTGTTCTTTCAGACTATGGTCTTTAGGTTTTTTTTATATGATAAGGTGGCAAACGAGTGAAATCGCTAAAATTGCGAAGTGACCGTTGCCCATAGACATACGCAATTGCATATGCGTTGCTTACCTTTAATCGATGGAGGAGAGGATGCACAGAAAGAAAATATATTCCCTTTGCATGCATTAACATAGATGTAGAAATTTGACATGGATGTAGAACATAATCTGGAAGAACACATAGACTACTTATTAATTTTATTTTTAATTCTGTCGACAGTTATGTAATTTTCAGTTAAGGGCTGGTTTAAATTTATTTTACCTCTGTTAGCTTCACGACTCTGAAGCCGTCCATCGCAGCTTGGAGAGCACAAATCGGGTCTATTTCTGTCACGTACACCTACGAAAAATATGTTCATTTAGATAAAATACAAGTATTTGTACATAATTATTTAAAAAAAAGTCATTGGTATGATTAATATTACAGTTAATTATAATTTCAGTTTGATCTTTTTTTGTGTTATATTATAATAGTTCGATTTTGTTTTTTTTTGTGTTTTATAGTTCAATTTTTTTTGTGTTATATAGTTCAATTTTTTTGTGTTATATAGTTCATTTTTTTTTGTGTTATATAGTACAATTATGCTTTTTTTTGTGTTATATAGTTCAATTTTTTTGTGTTACATAGTTCAATTTTGCTTTTTTTTGTGTTATATAGTTAAATTTTTTTGTGTTATATAGTTCATTTTTTTGTGTTATATAGTTCATTTTTTTGTATTATATAGTTCAATTTTTTTGTGTTACATAGTTCAATTTTGCTTTTTTTGTGTTATATAGTTCAATTTTTTTGTGTTATATAGTTCATTTTTTTTGTGTTATATAGTTCATTTTTTTTTGTGTTATATAGTTCAATTTTGCTTTTTTTGTGTTATATAGTTCAATTTTTTTGTGTTACGTAGTTCAATTTTGCTTTTTTTTGTGTTATATAGTTCATTTTTTTTGTGTTATATAGTTCATTTCTTTTGTGTTACATAGTTCAATTTTGCTTTTTTTGTGTTATATAGTTCAATTTTGCTTTTTTTGTGTTAAATAGTTAAATTTTTTTGTGTTACATAGCTCAATTTTGCTTTCTTTTGTGTAATATAGTTCAATTTTGCTTTTTTTGTGTTTTATAGTTCAATTTTGCTTTTTTTGTGTTATATAGTTCAATATTTTTGTGTGATATAGTTCATTTTTTTTTGTGTTATATTAGTTCAATTTTACTTTTTTTGTGTTATATAGTTCAATTTTTTTTGTGTTATATAGTTCAATTTTTTTTTGTGTTTTATAGTTTATTTTTTTGTGTTATATAGTACAATTATTTTTTTTTTGTGTTATATAGTTCAATTTTTTTGTGTTACATAGTTCAATTTTGCTTTTTTTTGTGTTATATAGTTCATTTTTTTGTGTTATAGTTCAATTTTGCTTTTTTTGTGTTATATAGTTCAATTTTTTTGTGTTACATAGTTCAATTTTGCTTTTTTTTGTGTTATATAGTTCAATTTTTTTGTGTTATATAGTTCATTTTTTTGTGTTATATAGTTCATTTCTATTGTGTTATATAGTTCAATTTTGCTTTTTTTTGTGTTATATAGTTCAATTTTACTTTTTTTTGTGTTATATAGTTCAATTTTGCTTTTTTTTGTGTTATATAGTTCAATTTTTTTTGTGTTATATAGTTCAATTTTTTTTGTGTTATATAGTTCATTTTTTTGTGTTATATAGTACAATTATGCTTTTTTTTGTGTTATATAGTTCAATTTTTTGTGTTACATAGTTCAATTTTGCTTTTTTTTGTGTTATATAGTTCAATTTTTTGTGTTATATAGTTCATTTTTTTGTGTTATATAGTTCATTTTTTTGTGTTATATAGTTCAATTTTGCTTTTTTTGTGTTATATAGTTCAATTTTTTTGTGTTACATAGTTCAATTTTGCTTTTTTTTGTGTTATATAGTTCAATTTTTTTGTGTTATATAGTTCATTTTTTTGTGTTATATAGTTCATTTCTATTGTGTTATATAGTTCAATTTTGCTTTTTTTTGTGTAATATAGTTCAATTTTGCTTTTTTTGTGTTAAATAGTTCAATTTTTTTGTGTTACATAGCTCAATTTTGCTTTTTTTTGTGTAATATAGTTCATTTTTTTGTGTTATATATTACAATTATGCTTTTTTTGTGTTATATAGTTCAATTTTTTTGTGTTACATAGTTCAATTTTGCTTTTTTTTTGCGTTATATAGTTCATTTTTTTGTGTTATATAGTTCATTTCTTTTGTGTTATATAGTTCAATTTTGCTTTTTTTTTGTGTAATATAGTTCAATTTTGCTTTTTTTGTGTTATATAGTTCAATTTTGCTTTTTTTGTGTTATATAGTTCAATTTTTTTGTGTTATATAGTTCATTACTTTTGTGTTATATAGTTCAATTTTGCTTTTTTTTGTGTAATTTAGTTCAATTTTGCTTTTTTTGTGTTATATAGTTCAATTTTGCTTTTTTTGTGTTACATAGCTCAATTTTGCTTTTTTTTGTGTAATATAGTTCAATTTTGCTTTTTTTGTGTTATATAGTTCAATTTTGCTTTTTTTGTGTTATATAGTTCAATATTTTTGTGTGATATAGTTCATTTTTTTTCGTGTTATATAGTTCAATTTTACTTTTTTTTGTGTTATATAGTTCAATTTTGCTTTTTTTTGTGTTATATAGTTCAATTTTTTGTGTTATATAGTTCATTTTTTTTGTGTTATATAGTTCATTTTTTTGTGTTATATAGTTCAATTTTGCTTTTTTTGTGTTATATAGTTCAATTTTTTTGTGTTACATAGTTCAATTTTGCTTTTTTTGTGTTATATAGTTCTGTTATATAGTTCAATTTTGCTTTTTTTGTGTTATATAGTTCAATTTTTTTGTGTTACATAGTTCAATTTTGCTTTTTTTGTGTTATATAGTTCATTTCTTTTGTGTTATATAGTTCAATTTTGCTTTTTTTTGTGTTATTTAGTTCAATTTTTTTGTGTTATATAGTTCAATTTTACTTTTTTTGTGTTATATAGTCCAATTTTGCTTTTTTTTGTGTTATATAGTTCATTTTTTTTGTTATATATTACAATTATGCTTTTTTTTGTGTTATATAGTTCAATTTTTTTGTGTTACATAGTTCAATTTTGCTTTTTTTTTGTGTTATATAGTTCATTTTTTTGTGTTATATAGTTCATTTCTTTTGTGTTATATAGTTCAATTTTGCTTTTTTTTGTGTAATATAGTTCAATTTTGCTTTTTTTGTGTTATATAGTTCAATTTTGCTTTTTTTGTGTTATATAGTTCAATTTTTTTGTGTTACATAGCTCAATTCTTTTGTGTTATATAGTTCAATTTTGCTTTTTTTGTGTAATTTAGTTCAATTTTGCTTTTTTTGTGTTATATACTTCAATTTTGCTTTTTTAGTGTTATATAGTTCAATTTTTTTGTGTTACATAGCTCAATTTTGCTTTTTTTTGTGTAATATAGTTCAATTTTGCTTTTTTTGTGTTATATAGTTCAATTTTGCTTTTTTTGTGTTATATAGTTCAATATTTTTGTGTGATATAGTTCATTTTTTTTGTGTTATATAGTTCAATTTTACTTTTTTTTTGTGTTATATAGTTCAATTTTGCTTTTTTTTGTGTTATATAGTTCATTTTTTTTTGTGTTATATAGTACAATTATGCTTTTTTTTGTGTTATATAGTTCAATTTTTTTGTGTTACATAGTTCAATTTTGCTTTTTTTGTGTTATATAGTTCAATTTTTTTGTGTTACATAGTTCAATTTTGCTTTTTTTGTGTTATATAGTTCAATTTTTTGTGTTATATAGTTCATTTTTTTTGTGTTATATAGTTCTTTTTTTTGTGTTATATAGTTCAATTTTGCTTTTTTGTGTTATATCGTTAAATTTTGTTTTTTTTGTGTTATATAGTTCAATTTTGCTTTTTTTTTGTGGTTTATAGATCCATTTTGGTTTTTTTGTGTTCTATAGTACAATTTTGCGTTTTTTTGCGTTATATAGTTCAATTTTGCTTTTTTGCGTTATATAGTTCAATTTTTTTGTGTAATATAGTTCAATTTTTTTTTGTGTCATAGTTCAATTTAGCTTTTTTTGTGTTATATAGTTGAATTTTTTTGTGTGATATAGTTCAATTTTGCTTTTTTTGTGTTATATAGTTCAATTTTTTTGTGTTACATAGTTCAATTTTGCTTTATTTTTGTGTTATATAGTTCAATTTTTTGTGTTATATAGTTCATTTTTTTTGTGTTATATAGTTCATTTCTTTTGTGTTATATATTCGATTTTGCTTTTTTTTTGTGTAATATAGTTCAATTTTGCTTTTTTTGTGTTATATAGTTCAATTTTGCTTTTTTTGTGTTATATAGTTCAATTTTGCTTTTTTGTGTTATATAGTTCAATTTTTTTGTGTTACATAGTTCAATTTTGCTTTTTTTTGTGTTATATAGTTCAATTTTTTTGTGTTATATTGTTCAATTTTGCTTTTTTTTTGTGTTATATAGTTCAATTTTGCTTTTTTTGTGTTATATAGTTCAATTTTGCTTTTTTTGTGTTATATAGTTCAATTTTTTTGTGTTACATAGTTCAATTTTGCTTTTTTTTGTGTTATTTAGTTCAATTTTTTTGTGTTACATAGTTCATTTTTTTGTGTTATATAGTTCATTTTTTTGTGTTATATAGTTCAATTTTGCTTTTTTTTGTGTTATATAGTTCAATTTTTTTGTGTTACATAGCTCAATTTTGCGTTTTTTTGTGTAATGTAGTTCAATTTTGCTTTTTTTGTGTTATATAGTTCAATATTTTTGTGTGATATAGTTCATTTTTTTTGTGTTATATAGTTCAATTTTACTTTTTTTTGTGTTATATAGTTCAATTTTGCTTTTTTTTGTGTTATATAGTTCATTTTTTTTTTTGTGTTATATAGTACAATTATGCTTTTTTTGTGTTATATAGTTCAATTTTTTTGTGTTACATAGTTCAATTTTGCTTTTTTTTGTGTTATATAGTTCAATTTTTTTGTGTTACATAGCTCAATTCTTTTGTGTTATATAGTTCAATTTTGCTTTTTTTTTGTGTAATTTAGTTCAATTTTGCTTTTTTTGTGTTATATAGTTCAATTTTGCTTTTTTAGTGTTATATAGTTCAATTTTTTTATGTTACATAGCTCAATTTTGCTTTTTTTTGTGTAATATAGTTCAATTTTGCTTTTTTTGTGTTATATAGTTCAATTTTGCTTTTTTTGTGTTATATAGTTCAATATTTTTGTGTGATATAGTTCATTTTTTTCGTGTTATATAGTTCAATTTTACTTTTTTTTGTGTTATATAGTTCAATTTTGCTTTTTTTTGTGTTATATAGTTCAATTTTGCTTTTTTTTGTGTTATATAGTTCAATTTTTTTGTGTTATATAGTTCAATTTTTTTTGTGTTATATAGTTCATTTTTTTTGTGTTATATAGTTCAATTTTGCTTTTTTTGTGTTATATAGTTCAATTTTTTTGTGTTACATAGCTCAATTTTGCTTTTTTTTGTGTAATGTAGTTCAATTTTGCTTTTTTTGTGTTATATAGTTCAATATTTTTGTGTGATATAGTTCATTATTTTGTGTTATATAGTTCAATTTTACTTTTTTTTTGTGTTATATAGTTCAATTTTGCTTTTTTTTGTGTTATATAGTTCATTTTTTTTTTGTGTTATATAGTACAATTATGCTTTTTTTTGTGTTATATAGTTCAATTTTTTTGTGTTACATAGTTCAATTTTGCTTTTTTTGTGTTATATAGTTCAATTTTTTGTGTTATATAGTTCATTTTTTTTGTGTTATATAGTACTTTTTTTTGTGTTATATAGTTCAATTTTGCTTTTTTGTGTTATATCGTTAAATTTTGTTTTTTTTGTGTTATATAGTTCAATTTTGCTTTTTTTTTGTGGTTTATAGATCCATTTTGCTTTTTTTGAGTTCTATAGTACAATTTTGCGTTTTTTTGCGTTATATAGTTCAATTTTGCTTTTTTGTGTTATATAGTTCATTTTTTTTGTGTTATATAGTTCATTTTTTTGTGTTATATAGTTCAATTTTGCTTTTTTTGTGTTATATAGTTTAATTTTTTTGTGTTACATAGTTCAATTTTGCTTTTTTTTGTGTGATATAGTTCAATTTTTTGTGTTATATAGTTCATTTTTTTTTGTGTTATATAGTTCATTTCTTTTGTGTTATATAGTTCAATTTTGCTTTTTTTTGTGTAATATAGTTCAATTTTGCTTTTTTTGTGTTATATAGTTCAATTTTTTTGTGTTACATAGTTCAATTTTGCTTTTTTTTGTGTTATATAGTTCATTTTTTTTGTGTTATATAGTTCATTTTTTTGTGTTTTATAGTTCAATTTTGCTTTTTTTTGTGTTATATAGTTCAATTTTTTTGTGTTACATAGTTCAATTTTGCTTTTTTTTGTGTTATATAGTTCATTTCTTTTGTGTTATATATTCAATTTTGCTTTTTTTGTGTAATATAGTTCAATTTTGCTTTTTTTGTGTTATATAGTTCAATTTTGCTTTTTTTGTGTTATATAGTTTAATTTTTTTGTGTTACATAGTTCATTTTTTTGGTTATATAGTTCATTTCTAATATAGTTCAATTTTGCTTTTTTTGTGTTATATAGTTCAATTTTGCTTTTTTTGTGTTATATAGTTTAATTTTTTTGTGTTACATAGTTCATTTTTTTGGTTATATAGTTCATTTCTTTTGTGTTATATAGTTCAATTTTGCTTTTTTTTGTGTAATATAGTTCAATTTTGCTTTTTTTGTGTTATATAGTTCAATTTTGCTTTTTTTGTGTTATATAGTTCAATTTTTTTGTGTTACATAGTTCAATTTTGCTTTTTTTTGTGTAATATAGTTCAATTTTGCTTTTTTTGTGTTATATAGTTCAATTTTGCTTTTTTGTGTTATATAGTTCAATTTTTTTGTGTTACATAGCTCAATTTTGCTTTTTTTGTGTAATATAGTTCAATTTTGCTTTTTTGTGTAATATAGTTCAATTTTGCTTTTTTTGTGTTATATAGTTCAATTTTGCTTTTTTTGTGTTATATAGTTCAATTTTGCTTTTTTTTTGTGTTATATAGTTCAATTTTTTTTGTGTTATATAGTTCAATTTTTTTTTTTGTGTTATATTAGTCCAATTTCGTATTTTTTTGTGTTATATTAGTTCAATTTCGATTTTTTTTGTGTTATATAGTTCAATTTTGTTTTTTTTTGTGTTATATAGTTAATTTTGTTTTTATTTTGTGTTATATAGTTCAATTTTGTTTTTTTTTGTGTTATATAGTTAATTTTGTTTTTATTTTGTGTTATATAGTTCAATTTTGATTTTTTTTGTGTTATATAGTTCAACTTTGTTTTTTTTTTTGTGTAATATAGTTAATTTTTTTGTGTTATATAGTTCAGTTTTGTGTTTTTTGTGTTATATAGTTCAATTTTGTTTTTTTTGTGTTATATAGTTCAATTTTGTTTTTTTTTTGTTACATTAGTTCAATTTTGTTTTTTTTTGTGTTATATTAGTTAAATTTTTTGTGCTTTTAATATTAATATAAGTGTTTAATGTCTTTGAACGGATTAAATGTCTGAATATTATTAAATATAACTCGAACAATAAAATGCTCAAATATTGCATAAAAACTTCACCCAACAGTCGCAGTGTTAAAAAAACAGATTTTGAAACATAATATTTGCCACATTGGCAACCATAGTTCTACTAGTAACTTAGATAAATCCATTAGTTCTTGTTACTTACCACGCATCCTAACGCCTTGAGAGCCTGACAGCATCCCTTGCCTACTTCTCCATAGCCACAAACAACCGACTGCTTGCCACCAAACATGAGATCAGTGCTTCGCTTTAATGCATCTATAATACTCTCCCTGCAATCAAAATGTACATAGCTGAGAAATTAATATGCCTTGTTATAAAAGAAATTGAAAATTAAAACTACTAGCAGTCGCCCGCGACTCCGTCTGTGCGGGATTTAAATAGATAGTAGCAGATTCTCAGAACTGCTGAATATGCATATAAAATTTTATAAAAAATCAATCAAGATGTTTCTGAGGAGTATGTTAACTAATATTGTGATACGAGAGTTTTATATATAATAGCTATCGCCCGCCACTCCGTCTGCGCCGAATTAGAAAAATAATTAGTATTGTGTCCTTCCATATGTTCTATAATAGATCTATGTCAAATTTCTAAAATCCATCCATCCATACATAAAAACATTCGCATTTATAATATTAATAAGATAAAGCACATTTTCCCACAATCTATTATATTTAATACAAATGCATTATACTCAGGTTTATTAATTTTAGAACGGATGAACGAATCTTAATGAAATTAGGCATAGATGTAGAACATAGTCTGGAAGAACATATTACTTGTAAAGTTTTTTTTTTTATTTCACGCTAACAAAGTCATAGGCGACCACTACTCTAATGGTTGCTATGTTTCGAAAGTGACGTTTGTATGTTTACAAAGATTATTTTTGATATGGGCTATATTTTACACTAGGAAGTCTTCCCTTGTCTCATCCATTTAGCAACACTATATTTTCTGTAGGGTTAGACAAAATGCATTCGCTACGAAACGATTCCATAACGAACTTCAAAAATAAAACTGACAATAACTTTCGATAAGTCACGTGATTGCACTTTGTCTAGCCCCCCCTGGTTAATTTAATGGGAAGTTCATATTTTAACACATTATTAGTTAAAATCCTTTGACGCGAATGACGTGCTTTCATTACCAAGTCAAGTGTCGGAATGATTAGTGAGGGGAAATAAACGTCGACATTTTAGTAAGGCTAGTGTGGTGCCGATACACCGGCACTGTGTCGGATGTTCTTCGTAACAATATGTATACAATTATCTTTAAAATCTACATAAAAAATCGATTATAATATCGATTATGTTGTAGATATTATCAACAAGCGCCGTCATTTGTAAACGGCTATCGTACAGACAATCTACAATATCATATTTCAGATAACTAAGATAATAATCAAATATAATTAACTTTTATTACACCGACGTTACATTACAATCCTTACATACTAACAGACTAGACTAGAAAATTGATTATCACGTGAAAAATCTAGAAAATAGACTTTAATTAGTAACCAGTAAATAGGTAAAAAGTTATCTTTTTATATTTATTCTGTCAAAAATCTTACTAATATTATAAATGTGAATGTGTAGATGGATGTTTGTTTGAAGATATCTCCAAAAAGGTTAAACAGATCTGGCTGAAATTTGGCATAGATGTAGAACATAGTGTGGAAGAACACATAGGCTTATTAAGTTTTTTTTTAATTCGTGTGAATGGTGTCACGGGCGACAGCTTTTTGTTTTAACAATGTGTTTCGTGTGTGTAAATCTTGTCACTTACCGACATGAATAGAGATTGTCAAACTTAGTCTTGGTGACGGAATCATTGACATTCATAGCTGGCACGCAAAGCTTGCCTGCCTTGCTCAGCTGGTAGAGTCGGTGTACACCCGTCACGCTCTCCTCCACTATACCTGTAACAAACACAACATTAAATTATTCAAACTTTCGTGAGACATTATACTAAACTAATATATAAACACGGCTAAACACTCACGTATATTCGTCCGGTGGCGGCACCACGGACAAGGCCCTCAGCTCACAGTGACGCCCGTGAGCTGAGGGCCAATAATACCAGTACCACTCATCCTGAAGAATGAGTGCTAAACTCGATCAGGCTCGAAACTGGTCGGTGCCGCCACCGGACGAATATACGTGAGTTTTTAGCCGTGTTTAAACACAACATTGCTTAGTGACCGGAGCGCACACAGAGTCATTAAGGGCGTGTTTTATGAGTTTTGAAGGGTTCATGAGTATTGTGTGAAGATTGAGTTAGTGTTGTTTGAGTGTTCAGTGGCGATTGATGAGTCTTGTGTGATTGAGTATACAGAGAGGACTGAACGTTGAACGACGACTGATTCAGTGATGATTGAGTGTTCAGTGGTGATTGAATGTTGAGTGACGATTAAGTGTTGAATGCAGGTTGAGTTTTCAGTTCTAGATTTGAGTGACGGTTGAATGTTGTGTGATAACTGACACTGATGAGAGAGGATAAATTCTAGTCCCCCATCTCTTCCTTTTCTAGTAAAGTTGATAGCGGAGTAGATTTGACGAGTACCTTTCTTTACCGAGGAAAGGATGTAGCGACAGATTCGTATCTTTAAACTTATTGAAGTTATCCATTGGCAGTGGTCACTTTGTTATTTTAGCAATAAAAGTTAAGTATCGTACACAAATATAATAAATTACCTTTGATTTGTTTGAAAGCTGGTGCGTGTTTCTTGAGCATGAGATGTGTGGCGTCACCGCCATCGTCCAGGATCATGTTGGGCTGCCAGGTGGAGGTGGGTGTGCAGCACTGGTCGATGCACCACCAGAACGCCTCCTCGCTCTGACCGCGCCACGCGAATATAGCAAAATCTACAATGTTAAACATTTAAAGTATTAATAAAACGAAAAATATATTGAGTATTTAAGACGTCGTTGTGTTGTTGGGTCTTTTAGTAACTGAATTATTCCATGAGTTTTTGAGACGTTGAGTAAGGTGGTCCAAATATATGAATAAATTTGACCAACACTAATGACAAATTAACCACGATGATGCCTAGTTTACATTATTACAGTTCAACTGGAATATGTTTATATTCCAGCGCTGGAATAATGTGAACTATACATGACGTCACAAAATTTACGAAGTCTTACCAGCATGCGCGAGCGCTGCAGCGACCTCGTTCTGCGTGCTGTATATGTTGCAGGCTGCCCAGCGGACAGTCGCGCCGAGAGCCGTCAGCGTCTCTATGAGGACCGCTGTCTGAGCGTTTATATGTGTGCAGCCGACTATCTGTTGAAATCATTCAAATTAACTGTGAGTTTTCATTGCTCTTACGCTTGTTCAAACACACATATTTCTCAGACAGAATGAAGGATGATAGTCTTGAACAGATATTTTAGCAGAGTAAACCCACGGTTATAAAAGATAAAGTCGTCGACCACAACTTTTTCCACGCGTAATTTTAAAAAGTAGCCTATGCTTTCTCCCAGGCTATATTCTACTATTTATGCCAAATTTCAGCAAAATCCATGCAGCCGATCTTATAAGTATCTGCCATCAATAACACAGTTTATGAAACCGTATGACGGATTGCACACAAAGATGTATTTGTCCCTTTCTAACCTTCGCGTCTTTAAGTGGCTTGTCATCTTTAGCACGTGCCCGCAGCGCCATGATACCAGGCATCTCCTGTTCCGCTATCTCTATCTCTCTCCTGCCGAACGCGTGCTGCTCAACATTACGCACGCAGTACGGTGGGTTGGGTTGTCCGGCAGCTATTGCCTTTTCATGAGGCTGAACACCTTCTTCCTCGTCAGATGATGACCCTGGAATAGAACATTGAATTCTCATAATTTTGTTTGTTTTTTTTTATATCTCACAAAAGATAGACAAATGACAAACGTTATTCGACAAATATTAGGTCTTTGTTCAAAGGTTTGGTCATCTAGCTGTAGCCCGCGACTCCGTCTGCGCGGAGTTAAAAAAGACTTTATTAGTAGACTATGTGTTGTTCCAGGCTGTGTTTTACATTTATGCCAAATTTCAAAAAGATCCGCCCAGCCGTTCTGGAGATACTTTCAAACAAACATCCATCTATCCATTTAAACATTCGCATTTATTATAGTAATAAAATATAAAGAAATCTATGGTATAAAATTAACGAACGCTGTTTATATTACCGTTAAGTACCAATATTGTACTGAAATAAATTATAACGCGATATGAAACGCCAACGTATTATTTACTTTGAAACTGCGCATTTATATTGTGAAAATTGATTTATGGAAAGTTCTCTCGACACGTGACTTAGCAATACGTCTGTCACTGGGAAATTTTAAACTTCGTTACTTTATAATATTACTAGTCACATAATGTCAGACATAACTTGTGTAGATTCATTTTGATTTGACACGTCGGAAACAACCAACTCTAGTTTCCTACTTTCCAAATCATTCGCAGGTCTTTATCATATTATTTATGTCTATTATAAAAGTCCTTGTAAACCTAACCTAAGGCTCAATGATTATTTGTGTTAACTAGCCGTCGCGCGCGACTCCGTCTGCGCGTAATTAAAAAAAAATTAATAAGTAGCTTATGTGTTCTTCCAGGCTATATTCTACATGTGTGCCAAATTACATCAAAATCCGTTCCGTTCCGGAGATACCTTAAAACAATCGTCCATCCATCTATACATTCGCATTTTTAATATTAGTAAGATTATTTGCTATATAAACTTACAAAAGTCACTCTTCCCAGATATAATGGAGTGTCTCTTCTGTATTGGTACATTCTCTTCTCTTATCGTATTCTTCAAGATACCAGTCGTCGCCATTTCATTAATATAACAAACTTTATTTTTTATATATTTAACTTACATTAACACATAAATGTATGTCACCGTATGATTGTGGATTACACCAGTTTATAATCTTACCACTAATGCTATGGGAAAATTATGAATCGATTAAATATTTTACATACAACCTTAAATTTACAATCCTTCTTGCTGAATATCGCGTTACAATACCAAATTTCAAATAAGATTCCAGAGATTTACCTTCTAAAGTTCAAGGCTATAACACCAAAGAGATTTGAAGACAAGATACGTTTGTTAGCGTCTTATTGACAATACCTCGGAGATACAGATATAACTATGCATAACCTGAGAGAGAGAAAGACAAAGAATCATTGTTGTCCCGCTCACACTGTTAAAGAAGAAAAAAAACATTCATTTTGGTATAAATGTTACGTGCAATTTCAATTCTCCTAAACACTAAGAGAAACTGCATCTTTATACCCTAACTAGATGTCGCACGCGACCTCGTCCGTGAGAAAAAAAGAAAACTTAATTAGTAGCTTATGTGTTCTTCTAGAATATGTTCTACACCTATCCCAAATATTAGCAAGATCCATGCAGCTATGCTGGTGATAACTTCTAACAAACATCCATCCAAACATTCGCATTTATAATATTAGTAAAAAATAAGTTGGTTAAGTTTCGATGATTTTTGATCCTTGAACACTGACAAAAAGGTTGAAACATTAACCACTGATCCATAGGGTTGTAAATAGACAAATACCAACTGAACAAACATCGGCATACCGCCAAAAGCAATTAACTGAAAACGAAATCGCCAGCAGAACCACCAAAATGCACCTACAATGTAAACATGGTACAAATGTTAAATACATTCGTATACTACAAAATCATTGCTTCAAAATAGAAGCAACAATAGAATCATTCCTATATGATTAACTTGGGTAACTAACTATGGAGACGGCTTTTTTATTAATTAAATTTATGATAATTAAATTAAGAATTATTAAATGTTTAGAGCACCAATAACCTAATAGTTAAGGGTAGGGATTTCCAATCACGTGGTCAACAGTTCGAATCCAGCTATTCGATTAGTATCGTAGTCAATATCCTATAACAAGCCTACAGCATACTTTGGATGGTACAAGAAATATTAGTTAATTAACAAAAAATCGGTTAATATTTAAATAGGAAGAGCTTTAATCTTTTTGATGATTAAAATAATTAATTTGCAGACTCTACAATTGAATATAATCTCATCAGTATAGTGACTGTTATTATAAGACGCATGCAAACTAAATTTAGCATGCGATGTCACAACATCCCCAAATTAAATTGCATCTGTACTATTTTTAGTAGGAATACGCAAGAGAACACGATCTATTAATTATAAATAAACCAGCGAGACCAATAGCAATAGAAGCTCTTTCGATATGCAATTCAAAAAATAACCTAATTTTATTTTATGGAAAAATCAAAAAACCCTACTGCAGCTCTAATTATACAGAAAGCGCCATCTATTAGCTATAATTTTAAAACAAAGATTTTATAATTCTTAATTTAATATAAATAAACTCTACATATACTCTTTTAAAATTACATATAATCGAAAAAATGCAAAAAAATGATTTATCGATAAAAAAAAATTGAAGTCAAATGTTTAGAATACAACGTCCCAAATCAAAAAAATGTGCCCTGAGCCGATGTCATATACCACATAAAACTCTTGTCACATAAAAATATACTTATATACGCGGGAAAATACATTAGCCTCTTTATCAGTCAGGTAAGTATGTAGTATGATTGGACTGATAAGACCAAGTCAATGCATCAGTTTATTTTCTTATCCATTTTGCTATATTAGAATTTATACAACTTAATAGCTTTTATATAATTGTCACAAAAATGTTAATTTTACGTAACAAACTCTCATAGTAACAAGACTCGAAACTTTTTTTATTCACAGTAAACTCGTTCACCGAATATGGTATTGAATTTGGCCGATAACCTTCATCTGGTTTAGTTTCGCTTTACTGTGTTACATCAAGTACACGTTTAAATTGTATTGCAAAGTTTATAAATAAAATATTTTGTTTTACGAAGGTACATTCATTCTGAACGTCACTTCACTGTTTATCTTGACAAAGAAACTGTCATCAGCAGACTTGGAAGGAAAAGCAAGACCATTGAAATTGTTTGCCATTTTCATAGGAATGTTTTACAATAGATTTTGTAAAAGCTAGTGGCGGCTGAGTGAAAGTTTGTTCTTATTAAAATAATCCAACTGCATCCTAAACTTCCTGACCTTATATTACATAAATGAGACCTAAATTAGTCTTTATTTCATATAAAAAAGTAAAAGAATTAGATTTTGCGCTACCAAAGTATTATTAAGAAATGAGTAAAAAATCAGTCGACGCGCGTATTTCCACGAACCGGTACAAATCGATAGAAAATCCGCAATGACACAGTCACATGCACATCACTAGAGGCACAGATTATAACATTAAAAAAAATCAACAATCAAAGAGGTTTCACTTTCGAATGTACTGGCAATTTTTAGATAAAAAAAAAAAGAAAAAAACATAAAACTGGCGCGAGCACAGATTATATTCACTAGAACTTGTTGTCCTTGACTGAGTTTTAAATTGCTTTAAAAAAATAAATATACATATACGTGTAGCGCTGTCGTACCACGGACAGAAAGTGTGCCCGACTAGTTGTGTGCAGCGGATATCACTTACGGCTACTCTAGTATGGAGTGGGCTGCACTAAACAATCTTTTATAATAACCAACGGAAACTAAAAAAATCTTTTGGCACGAATACAAGAAAATAAAGCTTCAATATTATAAAGCAATAATTTAGGAATATCAATGAATAAGAAACATTCCATTAAAAGACGTTAACAATACACTAATAATTTTAAATTCATATCTTGTCATACAAAAGACCTCCAAGTACAGTAAAAAGTTTTACTCTATTTTTGAATTACACTCAATTCTCTCATAGTATCAACTCTTGTTTAGAAAGCTACTGTCCAGACCTGATTACGATGGGCTAATTAATAACCACAGCAAAAGCTATATTAAGGGTCTGTGATAGAACTCTTAAGCTCATCTCATTGATACTTATGAATATCTACTATATGTGTAGCCTGGTTGACCCCTGAAGACTAAGATAGAACGCCACATTGCCAGTAATTAGGTCACGGATTGTTAAACACCGATCTACATTTAAAGCTCAGTAACCAATAATTAATGATGTAACAAAGTAATTCTACTAACATATTCCCTACTTGGTCTTCAATCTAAAAAAAAATGATTGTAAACATAAAACTGAAAAAAAACATGCTTCAATAGAAACTAAATTTAGGCCAAAAAACATAAACCAAAGTTTCGTCTTTAACAGTCAAAATTGTGGATTAGTAAAACACGTAAATAATAGAAGTAGTGAATACTCGCAATCCCTTGTAGTTATAATAAAAATGTTAAACTAAATGATATGTATAATATCAGACCATTCACCTCAGGGCTCGATAACCTAAGACAGCTTCAAGAACTAAATTAAATTTCTGTCTAGACAGTTTAAAGTATTGCTTTTAACAATATTTAGCTATTAAAGAATACATTTCTTTAATGTATAGCATAATTCATGAACAAATTTGAGACCTTTACTTTCAAGATGGTTACGGTCGGATCAATAATCTTGTCACGAGAGGCTATCATTTAAGTAGATTTAATAATTTCTGCTATTGTATTAGCATCATTTACAGATTTATTATCAATAGAATGACAAAGTACTAAAAGCCAACAATAAAATTGATTCCAAAGGCAAACACTAACCGAAGTTGTCTACTTGTCAAATGCTATGTCAAGTTAGTTTATAATATTATATCAATAGATGGCGGAACATATTGTTTAGATCACGATATTGATTTATTTGGTATATTTATCGACTTGCCGATCGCATATCAATAAAGTTGACTCGCACCAAGATATAACCAGTGTTTCATTGTGACTACTCGATACATCTCCAGTGAGAGGGAGACTTTTTGAGACTGCTTTACACTACTAAAGAAACCGCCATTACTAATGTGCCCCATCTTTTCCCAGAAAACCTCAAACAAATATGGGATTAAAATATCACTGTTTGAGGTCAACGTCTTTTGTTGTTGATAGAAAGATAACATATATCACGTCATTTGTATCAAACTATCAAGGGGTGTAAGAAGACAAACATAATATTTACATGTATGTACATGGCAAACAGGTGATAAAGAAATTCTTACGATAAAGACGAAAAGTATTTACTTAAGTAAATATTTTAGAGGTTTCTTGTTTTCATTAGAAACAAACATAAGAATTACATTCAAAATATCAAACCTCATAACAGCTATTGAGTTATCGATAACTGTGTTACTCTACTATAGAGTATTCAGTTCAATGCACTGTTGCAAAAGTTAGTATTTTTTTTATATTAAAGGTAGCAAACAAGCGAGCGGCCACTTGAAATCGCTGAAATAGCGAAGTGACCGTTGCCTATAGACATACGCATTTGCATATGCGTTGCCTACCTTTAATCGACGAAGGAGAGGATGCACAGAAAGAAAATATTTCTCTTTCCATGCATCCTCTTATCCGGAAAGTCCACTACCACTTGCCATCCTTTTCCTTAAAAGAAAAAGTGTGGAAAGAGGACTAAATTAGGCCTCCGGGACGCACACTCACCAGACGAAACGCGGAATTGTTTCCACTTGACGCCTGTTTTCTGTGTGGTGGTGGTGTATAAAAATATTGCCTCGCATAGGATCTTGTAATGATTCATATTGGTATTCCTTCATACACATAAAATACTGCTTTCATACCTTTCAAATAGTTAAAAATAAACTATACCTAGAAGTGATGAAAAACGATATCTAATTATCAGAAAACCGTCGCCTGCTTCAATAAGAAAAGAAATCATATAAATACATAAATATTAGTATCGATCTTCCTATAATACTTTCTATACAGACCTAGGGTGAAGCAAGTTGTATAACCCCGAAATAAAAGTGAAATCAAAACAATTGAAGACTTCAATCATCAACCTGCCCTTATCCCTATCGAGGGTCGGCACAGCATGTACTACTCCTCCATACATCTCTATCAGCCGTCATATCCGAGTCTACCCCCTTCTTACGCATATCCTCTTTCACACAGTCATTCCATACTTTTTTTGGTCTTCCTCTACCCTTGTAGCCATCCACATTCAATCTCATTACTTTTTTGCTTATATCATCATCATCCCTCCTCATAACATGTCCAAACCACGCTAACCTTTTACTCCTCAATTGAAGACTTCAATACTATAGGTATAATATTTATTCTAATTCTTAATATCAATTTAATACACTACCGCAATGCGGCGTGGAAATCTGTACAAAGATCTGTATTGGGAGCTTACAGAGTATTACGTAGCTATTCGACCTCAAGTCAAACATCACATAAACCGCAATATAAAAAGTTACCAATACCTTATTACTTCTTAAAGATCATTAAGATTTCAAGATTCAAACATTTAATCTGTAGTAGACAGATATAGAACGTAGTTGCTGTCGTCACGACTCCATCCGCAGTGGACAAAAAAAAATTATAAGTAGCCTATGTCTTCTTACAGACTATTTTCTACATCTATGCGCAATTTTAGCGAGATCCATGCAGCCGTTCCGGAGATAATTTCAAACAAACATTAATATATTCATCAAAACATACGCATTTATAATATTAGTAAGATTTTCATCTACTTTTCATTCTTAGAAAAAAACCTTTAGATATTCATTCAACATATTATTGAGCAAAGAGATACATACTTTTTATATAATTAGCTAAATTTAGACACGAGATCTTATTGGAAACACTTTACATATTCCATTTAATATATTTTAGGAACATTAATACCCTCTAGAAATGGAATATACTTTCATAAAATTCTTCACATAAAATGTACAAGGAGAAAGATCTTAGACGGAGAAATAAGCCTGTGGGAGTATGAATGAATTAAAAAAAAATATTCAGTTGTCAGTCGAACAAAAATATATTAAAATTTTTAAAGAATCATTTTCCATACTTAACGAGCTTCGAAATGCTTGCTTGCAAGAAAATTGATTAGCAAAGGTATGGACAAGCTTGGTCACCAGTTAGTTACACGTTTTATTTTTAATTGAACACGGTATATAAGCGTATATACATAATACATATACATAAATACGAGTGAATCCATATAATTATTCTTTTAAAGGAATGTTTTACGTCAAACATCTTAAAGACCCTGACCTCAATCACAAATTAAATTATATTATGAATTCGTTTCAGGGATTTTTTTATTTCCTCTCATTCGTCAATCCAATGTCGAAATCAACGACGGAGTAAATTTCTTTCCGTAAAAAGTTTTCTTTTTAAAACTTCAACGTGATATTGGACTTCCTTGCGATTTCAACATCAGAGTTTCTTTCGAATATTTACACTATTAAGGTTTTATTTCTAACATTCTAAAATGTCATGGGTTACCCTAAGGGCCTTCATACACAAGGCAACTAAAACTCCGAAACCCGGCAATTTTAGTTGCCATGACTTATGCATTGCAATGCCATAGAGGTTCGTACAAAGCGCCGACACCGACATTTTATTCCTTTGTCATCATCACTGATCAGTCGCAACCTGTTTGTCAAGACTCTCGAGGGAAAAGTCGCTGATAAAGATCATGGAGAAATCTATACAGTTGACATGAAGTCGCTGTCTGTACTGACCGAATAGACGACGCAATACGATTCTTAACCCTCGATTCTCGAAACATTCGTTTCGACTTTGCTTTGTGTACGGAGGGCCTAATAGCTAGGTTATTTTCTGTGCTGTCCTCGCTTCGCTATGGTAATGTAAACAATGCGCTCTCTGTATTTACCTTGGATTTATTAAACCGTGGAAAATAATATTAATAAAGAAAAATAACTCTATATTAAAACGGTATAGATAACCAGTTACTTTTTGTTTCTTTCACGAAGAAATGTTGTTACAAGGAAATGGTTTCTAAACGGCTTAACGTTGGTTTCTGAGACCAGAGACTGTGTATAAAACATATCGTGATCCCTCTCATTATCTTTGAAAAAACAAAGATAATAATACGTTTCAAAGAAGGATTTTGTCAGAAACCAGTGTATGAAATCCCATGACGTTTATCACACATGGAATACATCTAAGAATCAACCAGACTTATATAAAAAGTGTTATAATCTTTGTACGTATAAATTAAACGAAACGTATCCTCATAACGCGTACAGCTATACTCGTAAGGAATCGATTTACTTGCGTCACAGTACCCATAAATAGGTTCTATTACTACATTCGAGTTTATCACAGGGTGTTTCCTGTTGGGCCGATCGACTTACCAAAGAGACATTCTCTTTCTCAACTCATCCTGTATTATAAATTTATTTCTCGCTCACACCGTGTTAAGTACGTAGAAATGCGTAGCTATGAAACACGAAATATCGCTGTTTTTATTATACAGACTATAAAACACAGTTATAGCAGTTATATTTTGCTACTGGTACGGATAAAATTTCTCTTACAACTCGATTTGCGTTTTACTACGTCATAAAACTGCAATTGATTCACGAGGACATACAACGCAACGTCTTCCTATAGAGACGGAATTAGACCGTGTTTATCGACGTCACTTGACGTGGTATTATGGATACGTGGCCGAGACGTATAAATTGTGCAACAGGATATATAAATTCTAATAAGAATTTAAAATATTAACCCTCATACTGTGAAAGCGCATATAAAAACAATACTTCCATCCCTTTCATTCTCTGTGAAAAAATAGAGATAACATTAGTATTCGAAAGTCTTGTTAATCCTGGCTGGAATGTGTTGAGAATTAAAAAAAAATGTCTGTCGCTGATCTCTAGAGATAGACAGGCTATAAGCAATGACATTTTGTGCCTATTTGATTTTCGCCATTTTGGCGCTGAAGGTCGCAGTTGGTAATGATGGTGAGGATTCAATAATAGAGACAATTAACTCTCAGTAACATTAACAAGCATATTTAAGTTGGAACGAGAACCAAAATTATAATTTCCAAGCAACAACCTATCTCTATGTAGAGATTACTTATGTCTTAAAACTTGCATTATTTTAACATGAACTACTATACTCATAGTCATTGGTTACTAAGGAAGTCTTTTTGAGTAGATTTATTTTGAAAAATTAGCAAATATTCAAGCAATCATACAACTCCATACTCCATAGTAGGAGCTGTGACAAATTGCATGTTTACTTTGTACATAATTTAAATAGGGTACATAATGAACAATAGGCATTCAAAATTAAATTACATTTATTTAGCTGTGAAGTTATACTCATTGTGACAAAGCTATGAGTTTAAGGCAGAAATTATTTATTTACTTTTTTAATGTTGTTGATGATAAATAATTATGTCTAAAATATTTTTTATTCATTCTTCCTGTGTAATGAATTTTATATTATTCTCCAATGAGACTAAAACAACACTATTGGCATTTTTTTATTATTTATTTATATCAAGTTACTCAGCCATAACAGTATCATTCTAGGTCTACATATGTTGAACTATTCCTAGTGTTTTATCTATGTTAGGTTCTATGTAAAATAAGATGCAAGCGAAGTCTCACTTAGAAATGACTTAACTAAGCACATTTATGTGAACTAAATAACTTGGCCAAATTAAGAAGTTATATACACAGAAAAAAAACTAAATTGCTGATATTTTTGCAGTTCATGTTGTTTTGTTAAACATATCTAGGTTTATTATTGGTTCCATACTTAACATAACTTAATAAGAAACACATTTTATTCACTTGCGTTCTGCATTCGCAATTACCAGATCTTGTTATCTGGCACAAAATAAATGCGCCATATACAGATTAGAAAATTAAAAAAAAACATCAACAAAAATCTTACCAGTATACGAGGTAGAGCTGTAAGAGTCGGCGGAAGACGCTGATAGAGATCTGCTGCGATATCTGGCCGACTTCTTTAAGGCTCCAGACTTTCCACGCTGCCCCTCGAATTTTCCGGCTGTCCCATCCGAATTTCCGGTCCTGACATGGCCAGGATCAGTCACAGGACTATCGCTTGGTATGTTAGCATTCGCCACACTCTCCTTTCTGTTCTGATTCGGTTCCCCTTGCCCTTCCGACATCGTTATATTTTTTCTCCCCCGATTGGTGAAGGAAATTTATTTCCAAAGATGGTTTAATTTCGTGTTAGGCTCGATTAGAAAATATTTTACTCACTCCGGGATGATATGAAATAATTATTACATTGATTTAAATATCATTATTTCTCAGAAGAAGAATATAAACCAATATTAAAATATGTAATTCGAACACCAGCAGTCCTGATATAAATTTTCTAATTAAATAATGGCGTAACAAAGACTGATATTATTATTGAGAACATTGAAAAATATTTCACCACACTGTCTTGCGTAGAAAAGCAGTGTAATTTTATTATTACATTTGAAAAACGTAGAATTACACATTCACCAAAAGCTGAATCTGAAAGCTGAAACACACCCCCTCTTTCAATTTACCTCACCCCTGTCTATGGTCTAGAGCAAATGTTTCAATAATGTCATTTTCGATCGGTAAGGCATCCATCAACCGGTAAAAAAATAATTATACAGTGTCCTTAAAATCATCGGTTCTTACAACATTCTGTTTGTTTTGTTTTAGAAGACATAGCTTTCTTATCAAATTTGAATAGTGAGACTGGAGTAGTAGATTTGTCAGAAAATATGCTTCATAGACAAAGAAAATAGAAAACGACATGAGATGGTGGATATATTATAGTCAAAAAAGGAAATCTGTTTAGTTCTAATTTAGTTTAACTTATGCCCAGCGACGATGTGTCTACAGTTTCGCCCGTGGAGTCAGATATTTGGCAAATTATGGAACCAAGCATCCAAAAACACATTACCAAACAGGTCGCTCGGAGAAATTGTCTTCACATCAACGGTTACTTAAGAACACAACAAAGTAGCATATATTATGCTAAATTTCCTATAGCTTTCTAAAATTAAGCGAAACCAAATAGTAAAAGTAGTCCATAGTTCGTATATAGATTTATAATTATACCTTTCCGAAATTAGAATAATTTTCCGGAATCGGTAAAACGTCAATATTGTGTTGTTTTGTCTATGATTTTATTTAAGTCACTAGAAAGTCACTAGCGTCGCCAATATGGTAGTGAAATATATGTACATGACAACCGTACGAAACAGCTAGGAAATAAATAACGGATTTTGTTTTAATATTAACTTTTGGTAAGTGAATACGTTTGTATAAATATTACACATACACAGTAATCATTTTTCAATCAGTTAACCAAACAGATGACTTTCGCCAGGTGTAAGGGAATAAAAAAAGTAATTTTCGAAATTCGTCATCCAATCGTGTACCGGTAGCCAATGGCATTTAAATAAGATTTAAATTTTGTGTGCATGTCAACAGTATGAGATGCTATAAATGAAACATGATGGAAAATTATATAAACTGTTTGATTTATTCATCTGCGTCAATCGTTTTGTTTGCGTTGGAAGATTCATGAGAATAAATATACTTTATTTTTGTCATTTTATCGGAATCATGTCAAATCATTACTTGGGAAAGGTTTTGTTTTTGTCTTTAAATGAATAATTATATATAAATTATAAGTTTATTGACTCTTTCAAGTCATTCTTGTCAAGTTCCGTTTATCGATAGAAGATTGTGATAACGCGTACTCCGTGACTTTGCAGTGAATGTTTATTTGTATTTGGAATATGTTCGACTAACATATGACGACACGTGGCCTTTACATATGGGTATTGACGTCATTTTAAGGACGTCATGTAATAAAGCCTTTTTCGCGCCACACAATAGCTTTGTTTAAAAGATTTACAGTTACTGAATTACATCTCATAAAACTTAAAATCTAAAATTCAAATCACTTTAATAATATTGTACAGATTATTGTTGCATTGTACTATTTTTTTAATTTCATCATATGTGTCAGGCTCTTTCCATATTTGGGATTAAATAAGGTTAGTTGTCACTTTTATATTAAAAAAAAACTGACACAATTTTTAAATGATATAACATTCTACCTATATTAAGAAATAAAGCATTAAATATGATATTCAGTTATTTATTAAATTATTTAAAGGTTCAAATTAACTAAGAACACAAATAGTATTACTAAGTCATACAGTACAGAGATGTATATGGTGTTATCTTTTTTTATCTATCTGTCTTCTCTCAAATCCCATAAGTAAACGTGTCATAAAAATGTCAATGATGAAATCTTACTAATATTATAAATGTAAATGTTTAGATGGATGGATGTATAGATGTTTGTTTAAAGGTATCTTTAGAATGGCTGAACAGATCATGATGAAATTTGGCATACATGTAGAACATAGTCTGGAAGAACACATAGGCTATTAATAATGTTTTATTTTATTTTGCTGGGATGGAGTCGCGGACGACAGCTAGATCTAACATATCTCTTTGTACATAAAATTTGTTTACTGGTTTTAAATATTCTCTCAAATAAGCTTATGGCTATTTTTAATGTTTTTTTTCTGCTGTTTTAAATTCTGATTTTGTGTTTTTTATTTTATTTTGGATGACTGACATCCACACATCCAAAATCTTGTAAAAACATATAATTATCTCTTTTTTGTGAAAGATGATATATTTTATACACAAATTTTGGTCTTGGAAACTCACTGTTAGAAGCTCTTAGTGTTGGGTGATTCCAAATGACTGTTTCTTATCTATCTTTATATATCTTCTGTATGCACATAAAACTATAGATCAAATTATGACGAAACTTTGATAGAGTGAAAGCCATAGAAAATGTTGACCGTTGTATAAGTACAGGTTGTTGTATGTCAGGTGCAAAGGATGTCGACTCTGGGCCGCGGGCGGGGCTACACGGGGCGGCACCACCTGCGCGAGCCGCGGCCCGGCGGCGACCCGGACGAACGCGACGCGCGTACCCTAGCTGAGCTCAGTCCGAGGACCACAGGTACATAAGTTCTTACTCCTTAAACACCCTTTCATGACCATTGGATTGGATTGTTTTTATATATGAATCTTTCAATTGTGGAAATGTAGTAATAAACTTTTAAGAAGTACAACAATGATATCACTTATAGCGATAAGGCCACTCTTACTATGTGAATTAGTTTTCATCAAGTCTTTATATATGTACTTTGTAATAGCAATAAAAGTGTATAAATATGTAATTTAGTGACTACTGGGAATTAATATTACTTTAAATATTTTAGATCCATCAAAAATAGATGTAAACAAAGTAGAAATGGTGAAGGAAAGCGAGTTAGATATCAAAGAGGATATGGATTTAAAGCCGGTCAAGTTGAGCCGAGCTATTGAAGATGAGGATCCAGGTGTTAAAGAGTTGTTGCATATTGATGAACAGTTTCTGCCACTACTGGCTTTGGTATGTTATATTTGTTGTATTATTTTAATTGTCCTGTCTATGCTTAAGGTGAAAATCTATGGAAAGGCAACACGATTATTTTACTGTGGCAACTTATCTTATTAGCATCATAGATAGTATTATAGAAAAATGGTTTTCTAAATTTATACTTTATTTTTATTGTAGTTAGAACAATTTTCGCCCGGTGAAGATGGAATCCAGTTTAATAGGAAGCTGCGTAACTTTGAAACAACAGTAACTAATATGTGCACAGATGAAACAAGATTACAGTGAGTTTTGCAAATGCATCTTTTTCTCAACTACTAGCGCTTATTCTTGTGATTAATGGAAAAATTCAACAAAATTTAATAAAACAGTCCAATAGATATATGTTATGTGTTTAAATTGCTTATATAAATATGTCTGTTTTTAATCTGTTTATAATTTCACATTAATTCCATTTAATTTGATTTTAAAAACTACAATAATGTAAATACTTTGTATTAGAGTTTAACGGGCCACCTTCTGTGCGGAATTAAAAAAACAAACTTCATTAGTATTTAATCTATTCTATCAGACTATGTTCTACATCTATTCCGAATTTCATCGAGAATCATTCAGCTGTTTTGGGGATACCTCCTAACAAACATTCATCTATCCATCCATCTAAACCTTGGCCTTTTTAATATTAGTTACATTGTATAAGGCTCTTTAGTATCTGAATAAATAAATTAATACTAGCGGACCCGACAGACGTTGTCCTGTCTACACGTCTTTAATTTAAATAAATTAATATGAAGTTAATATTTGATGAAAATTGTGAATCTAAACCATTCCCAGATCCCCTTGAACACACACAAAAAATTTCATCAAAATCAGTCCAGTTGTTTGAGAGAAGTTCAGTGACATACACACTCACAGAAGAATTATATATATAAAGATATACACATAACATGGTTTGTAATACAATAATTTTCTCTTTCCAGTATGGCGTTCGCTTCGTTCCGCGCGGCGGCGTTGCAGAGTGCGGTGACGTCACGCAAGCTGGCAGCTGTCGGGGCGTCCTTCACCCGCCAGCAGCGCCAGCAGCTGCTGCGTGGAGCCCTACTCAACATTGTCATGCAGGGGACATTCACCAGTCAGTACACTGTTGGAATACTATCAATACTATGTTAAACGAGCAAGCGCTCACTTGGATTGCAGATACATTGCCTAAATTCATTCGATTTAAAGCACTTGACTCATAATCTGCAGGTCCTAGGTTCGATTTACATATGTACATATACCCGAGGAAAACATCATGATGCTGCACATATGTAAGACATTCAAAGATATGTGTGAAGTCAACTCACACTGGCCCAACGTGACTATGGCTTAGTTAACCCAAACTTATGGTAGGCTCCGAGTCCCTCAATGGGGACTTATTTGTCGGTGTGGGGCAAACAGATAGAGAATATTTCTTTTTCCTATGCGTTTCCTCCATGAAATTCACTTCACCTTCCAATCGTTTCCTTATATTAAAAGGATGGGAAGGGAATATGGACTGCTAATGAATTCGCACCTTAGTGTGCCTTCTGTGTGGTCGTAATCTTTGAGGTTAATTTGAATTTTATTTGAATTATTTTTTAAGGGAAGGGGACAAATTAATCATCCTCTAAATTCAAAATTTACTTTTGATGAGTAAAATGTATGTAATTTATTTAACAACATTATTTTGTTAATTTCAGAACTGGATGTTCTGGAACGATCAAATCCGTTGTATTTGATAAATGCTGCCAACCTTATGGGAGATTATTTTGCCGGTTTGTATAATTTTTACTTACGTAAATAGCCATCAGAGTATAATATTTTTTTCTTATGATATTTTTTGTAATTTTCAGAGGCACGTCTATGTAATGGCAATAAAGTGCACATCTTGGCGAGTCCTCTTCTACAATACATGCGAGCTCTATTGGCCTCTGATGACGTGCGCGCACATCGTAGTCTGGCAACACAGGTACATTTCACTACTAGCTATTGTCCGAGAATCCGTCAGTGCGGAATTCAAAAAAAAATTCATAGCCTATATGTTCTTTCAAACTATGTTCTATATGTATGCCAAATTTCATCAAGATCCATACAGCCGTTCTGGAGATACCTTCAAACAAACATCTATCCATCCAAACGTTCGCAGTAAGATTATTAATAAGATATAGTTTAAGATGTTATTAGTTAGAATGCTTTGACGCGAATGGCGTTCTTTCGTTACCAAATCAAGTGTCAGAACGATAAGTGAGGGGACCACATTTTAGTAAGGCTAGTGATGTGCCGATGCACCGGCACACTGTCGGATTTTCTTTCCAACAATAGTAAGATTATTAATATTAAGTGTGTTTAATTTCAGCTCATGCAAAACGGTCGGGAACTTCTGTCCGTTATGTCACATGAATTAGACGAACTGTCTATATCAATAAAGCTGCGTTTGCTCACTCCACCGCCCGTCAACATCATCTGGCTCCTTCTATCAGCTGATCTGTGTCTCAACAAGTTCCTACCACTACCAAACACGCTGCAACAGTTCTACGCAGCACATCTAGACCTCAGCAATGAGGAGAGCTTCAGCGAAGTCAGCTACGGGTCCTGGAAGAAGAGCCCTGAGAAAGACGAGTACAGATCCGACGGCAGCTCCGATGCTAGCACTGATAAAGTGGGGCAGAATCTCTCCCAAGTCAGCCTCAACCATGATGATGATCCAAAGCCTAAATTAAGACCAATCCTAGGCGCAGGAGCCGGACTGCTAAGACAAGAACAAGCGTTGTCCCAAGAAACATTCGATTCAAGAATTACTAAAACAAGCCTCTCCAAAAGATATGATTTAAATTCCTGGAGACAGGCCGAAGAAGAGAAACAAGAGGAAATAATTGACCCAATGTTTAACCCTAATGTGCTGCCACCCGGTCTGCAGCAAACTTACCCAGTCACAGTACCTGATTACCCACCTCCGAATAGATTTAATTACCAAGATAATTATCCCAACTACCTTCAACAAGGTGATGGCGCTTATATACAAAACCAATACTCTAACAATCAAAACTTTACACCCCAAGGGGACTTTGTACCACAGTACACAGCGGAACCACCCAAACCCAACCCCGAACGAGTCAACAATGAGATACAGAAGACAAGCAATACTAGGAACAGCAAACCTGTGGAAAACTGGCGCAAAGAAAAGACCGATATTAAAGAAGATTCTAATAAGAATAGACAGCGTAATTGGTCTAGACAACGGTCCAAGGATAATGTGAATGATGATGAAGAAAAGGGGGAGAAGTTTCGATCCGTGTCCAGAAGCTCGCGTGAGTCACGGCAAAGTACCACCGGTTCCAGAATGAATAGACGGAACAGTGGAGACAGCCAGGAGCAAGGCAACTCCGGGAAGACTCCGCCCCGGAGAAATGTGACCGAAGTCCCCAGGAACCAGAAGTACTGGGATCACGATGATAGATGCGACAAGGATTATAATAGTTAGTGACATAAAAATTTTAGTGACATGTGTAACAGTGAGTCAGTGATGCCAACTTAAAAACAAAGTGCCAGCAAATGCTACATGTTAAATCCGTGCAGGGTGAATGTAGTTCGAACAACCGCGTGTCTCTTTTCGTAATACAAACATTTTCGATATTTAAATATGGTAACTCTGAAGGAATATTTTTAATCTGTCGTGTTTCGGTCTGATTTAATATTACGGCCGCACAAATTATTTAGAAAATTATGTATATTCGCCTTTGAACGTGCTAAAGTAAGAATCAGGTGCTTACAGACTGTGTTTGTATAAACACTAGGCTAAAATTTTAGATCATAATATCCCAACTTTATAATATTATTTAAATGTGAAAGTTTTGATGTGAAATTGTGTTGCAGTGTCCATTTATATGTCACAAATAAGGTTAGATATTTAGTTTCAATACATTTTCTTAGGATTATAATGAATTGTGGTTTATTCATTGTGAATATAAATTTAAGGTAAATGTGTAAACCGTTTAATATTTGGTGTAGTTAATATGTTAGATTTAATTTACTTAAAATGATTGAGGTTAAGTGAATTCGCTTTGACGTCAAAAATGGCGGCACGAGAATAGAATTCCAATGCATAATGAACAAATTTTCAAGATAGACAAACAGATTCATTTTATCGTAACCTACGGACATATTTGAATTATTATGATATCTATATTTCCAAATTTTTTGTGAGAAATGCTTAAATTTTGTAATGAAGTACAATAGTCTGGTACTCAGTTGCATTTCCAAAGATTTTCGCATATTATGACTTAATAGCCTTCATGATATTTTTTTATGGCCTGGAGCTAATAGAAATAAAGGAATAAAAGGTGTGTACAATGTTGCCAACTTTTCAAACATCGGTCATTTAAAACAGCATGCTTTTTTTTGTAAATGGGCGAAGTTTTATGTGTATTTGGCTTATGGTTGAACACAATTATTTGTTCTTAAGATAAGTCAAAAATTAATTACTTAGCAAAAGAGTGGATGGATTTAATACCTAAAAATAAGCAAAAATTCGAAATTGTTTATTGGCTTCAGCCATGACAATTACCCAATTTATTATTATTTGAAAAGGATTGTAATTAAGTCATAAATCCCAATGGGTTTTTAGTGATTTTTTGTTGGACTCAGTCATAGAATCCTGTGTCGTTTTTTTGGTCATCAACAAGAATGTACTTTTTTATAAATGGCTTGGGAAAATTCATTGTGACATTTAAAAAAAGGAATTAATATTAAATTTTCTGTATAAGTATGTAGTATTTAGTTTTTAATTAATTTATTAATAAAACCGAGAAAGAGCATAAATATGTTTTGTATTAATTTGGAATATTACGTACTTGAAATTATAGAGTACATAACTTGGATAAAGCATGACTTCAACAGACCGCGATATTTTTCTCGTCTAGATGTTTCTCTTATAGACGAGTTTCTCGCTTATACAGATTATATTGAATAGATTAATTGAATAATTAATTATTATTTAAAATAATAACTACAAAAATAAACGATGCAGAAAATTTAATAATTTTTCGTTTATAATTTCGAATGATATCTCAATCTTCTACACATAAAATAGATAATATAATTGGTAAATTGGAGGAAATTTTTAACCAAATCATAAATAGCAGTATATTTTAATTATCTTGAGAAAAAAATGCTATATTTAATTGTAATATTAACGAATAATAACTATCAATTTAATTACAGTAAAATAATTCTATATTTTCGATAAAACACAAGCTGTACGTCCTTAGTACCTTTGCCTTACTTACTGTTAACTATATCGTCAGGTTGGCAGCCTTGTTGACACTTATGAAATTTGATTATTTTTAAAATAATTAAAATGGCGCGAAAATTACATCAGACTTCAAGATTATAAACATTGTTAAAATTCTTTTGCTAACAATATAGCAATTATAATTGTGCATTGGTGCCTTAAATTATTCTCAAACTATGAATATCCAGTGCCTTGTGAGACTGCCCTATTAATCGAACTTTACTTTTACCGGAAAATTATTAAGCGTATACACAAAAAATAACCTCAAAAATTTGCCGTTGTTATTAATATACATGAATTTAATTATATTCTAAAATATTTATTCTAAATTTTCATAAAATAAAATCAATTTGAATCGTTATTATATGTACTTTTATAAAGATCTCAGTAAATCTAAATTAAAACCTTTTTTCACTTGGCAATGGCAAGTGATTAGTGCAATATAATTCTACTTTGGAACGCGTTCAAACGTTTTTCTGCAGTGGAAACCGGCAGTAACTATCAAAAATTTGTTTTATTATGTCTTTATTATCATTCATCTTCCATTTTTAACAACTTACGCCAGCCGTTTATTAATTCTTATCGCTTAAAATAAGTATTGTTTTTATATTTCAATTTCATTGCTCAATTCTAAATTAAATACCTCATTACATGACATTTTTGCAATATCCAATAAAATAACTCATATCTCAAACCGGTCTAGTACTTTGTGTGAAATTTTAATTATGTACCTGTATAGAAAATATGCACAATTTGAATACTACCCGTGTGCAATAACATGATACACTGACGTCACCGTCATTATCAATGTCCAATCATAAGCTAGCGCAATTGAATACTATGTTTGGTTTAGAAATCACATGTGGATATGTCGTCATGATATGAAGTCTTATGTTATTGTGCTCGCATAGTATATTAAGTTAAAATTGATTAGTATTAGGTAAATGGAGCGTTGAATGTATATCAACAGTATGTTGTAACTTAAAATATATAAAATTATACGCGTCTCATTTAAGGTAATTTCCACTGGCTCCTAATTTATAATGACGTCAGTGCTACCTTCATATGTTCACGAAATTGATGAAAATGTACCTTAAATTTGGGTGTCATTTAATTGTAAATTAATGAGTAAGATAATATAAGATATGTAAACTGTAAGGTTTTATAGAAGTATGAATTTGTCGGAAGAAAATTTAATTTTATTGTAACACAATGTTCGAGATATTATGTAAAAAATTTGGATGAAAAAGAAATGTAACTATTAAAAATGCAATATTTTTTTTATTTTTCTTTTTTCTTTATCCATAGACAATATTTTTATACAACTCACCTCTTCCGTTCTTTTTTTCAATGTGCAATATTTTTTACAACCTATTTTTTGAAGTTATTTCTATCTACGTCCAAATAGAAATCATAAAATAGAATATAAAAAATCCTTTCCTACACAAAGGCTAGAAATGCCATTGTATATTCTTCCATAATATAAATGCAAATAGAGTAAATATTTGCTTACAAATATATAAAGTTTTTAATTTAGAGCCCTCTTTCTATATTGCATTTATCGGTAATAATTTTGTAAGTGCCTACTCATATAAATTAGCAAAATTTTACATAGCTACGAATAGTGCGGTAGATTTTATAATGACGTCATACAACTGCCCAATACTATTCATGCACGATAACATGATACTACGATGACGTCATAGTTATCCGGTTCAAAATAAGAATATTAAATTCCTGGCAAATTAATGCGTTCACTTAAATTGATTGCTCATAAATTCTGGGAAAGCAAGGTATTATGTTATCGTGCACTGGTAGTCCTAGGCTATGTTGAGGTTTTGTTAATATTTAACATACCAAATTTATTTGAAATCAGTGTATGCTGCTTCACTGAAAAATTTATAATATTAATAAAATGAAATATTTCTATATGTTTTTTTATTCAGACCCTGACGTACGAAAATTATGTCAAATACTAACTCCTAACTATCTTTGCAACAGTGGTAGAGCCCGCTTTAACATCTTCGCACGAATTGTCCCGGCTCGCCCGGTGAAATACCACGACCACACAGAAGACAGGCGTCAAGTGGAAGCAATTCCGCGTTTCGTCTGATGAGTGTGCGTCACGGAGGCCTAATTTAATCCTCTTTCCCTTCCCATCCTTTTCTTTATAAGGCAAGGATTGGAAGTGAAAATGGACTTTCCGGATGAGAGGATGCATGGAAAGGGAAAATATTTTCTTTCTGTGCATCCTCTTCTCCGTCGATTAAAGGTAGGCAACGCATATGCGATTGCGTATGTCTATGGGCAACGGTCACTTCGCTATTTCAGCGATTCCAGGTGGTCGCTCGCTCGTTTGCCACCTTATGATATATAAAAAAAAATCTTTAACTGAACTAAATACTAACATTCTTTTCAAATAAACTAGCGACCCAAGGTCATAGGCGCGATGCGTGCCCTCCCCCCGCATCCCGCTACACCTAAAATTCTGTTTTGCGCAGACGTTTTCATTCGCGCAAAGTTAAGAGTCGCCAAAATTTTAGAAACTTTGTTTCTAGTGCGACCACACACAAAAGTATATTGTTTTTTCAAACACAATACAATTTACACTAAATAGGACGGATAAAATACACAATTTTGATTGTTCAGATTTTAAATTTATTTCGTACAATATTTCTCTTGGATTTTTACATAGATTTTAATAGAAAGCGTCATTGTTAAAATTAAACGAGTAAAAATAACAAAAAAGTATTATAAATTTAAGCAGGTACTGGTTTTAATGCGCTTATATATTTAGTCTATTTATAATTACTATTTACTATGGCATAAATAAATATAATTTTTAAGCATATTTCGATGAATACTTCAATTTATTTCGATATACTAAACATTGGTAAAACTGCTTAAAACTACTTGAGGAGAATAAGCATTTTTTTAATTTCCACTTTTATTACTTTTTTTATCGTTTTTATAACAAGAATGCATATATCAGAGACAAAAGTTGAACTTGAAATTTTTCATAAACTTTCGTTTTTAAATGGTAAGAAATTTTTTTTGGTCAATTTATATTTTATCTATAATTCATGAACATTTTATTAAGCGTCTACGATTTATTATTTTAAATAGAAGGACATTTCATTATACAGTGATTTTAGCTGATTTTTACTTTAAAATCTATATAAGCTTATTATATATTTGTGCATTTTAGGCCAGAAAACTACTCAATAACCTTCAGCGTCAAAATCAGAACTTATTTGACATTAACATACTTTACACTTTTTGCATAAAGCTATCCTTTGTCATATTTTGGTTCAAGATCTCAACTAACAAATACAGTATTCGCTTCGTTTCAATTCACACAAATAACAATGTATAACCTCACTTATAATAATAATAATACTCATTATTTTATTTATATGAACGGATTAACTCGTCTTATTTCAAATACATGCGGAAACTAAATCTTATCCTAAGTAGGCTCTTTGGTGTTTTTTGTGGCGAGTGTTTTAATTGAGGCCTATAAATGCCTCAAGGCACATTATTTATCTACACATATCTTATACAGTCATTAAAATAAAGATATACGAAGGGCGCGAATAAGCCAAAAGGGAAAAAGGCAATAAAATTTAAGTGCACTTCATAAGATGCCTTGAATTCAAATGAAAGCTATAAGAAACCAGCATTAAATAAAAAAAAACAAAAGAAGATCTAAAGTCAATTTATCTTGGTCAGAGTTAGAAAAAAAACAATGAGTAGTGTGCTTTCTGAAAACATTAAAAAGTTTGAAAATAGCGCCAATTAAGATATTTATGTTGGTACGATTACTGAATGGCACATGTGATAGGATGAGTGAGGAGATAGTTAAGCAGCACGGGAGTTCCGGCCGCCACCTCCAGGTCTAGGCCTGCCTCCTCGTCCAGCGGGTCCGAGGAGATTGACATCTTCTCCTTGGTGTCGAGTAGAAGATCAGTTGATGTGTTATCACCGGCCACTGAGTTTGTAAATACCTGAGAAGTATGTAATATTTTACTTTGTATTAGTTTCTGCAATATTCCGTAAAAGCCAGTAGAGAAGCAGGTAAAAGACCACAGCAAACAAGATGCGGATATGATCAAGCAGAGAGCGGTACAGAAAATAATTGTGTATATTCATACATCATCATCAGAGTCATCGTTATCATGTTCGGCGATTGGCTCAGGATGGACGGTGTACCGCGGTGTGTACTCACTCTCGTCGGAACTGTACTCCTCGTCGCTTTCGTCACATTCGAAATATCGACTCTGCAAACCAAATACATACAGCTTATTTGTGTGTATTTCTGTTTTATTTTAATTTGCCCATTGCCATTTCCTCATCTGTTGCTGTAAGTACGTAAATTATTAGCTCATTGAAAACTATTGTGTATTTAAAAAAAACTTTGTAGTTTAAGTTTATCAATACTTGTGGTTAATTTACTAATGCTGCCTAACACGATATTATACGTAAAACGAAACACAAGCGCCGAGTACCAACACAATAAAATAAAAACGTCAAACTTTAAACATAAATGTCACTGTCACAAATATCAAAAGCAAAGCAATAATTTATAACAATGACAAATACATATTAACGGCTTTGAATCATTAATATTCATGTCAAACAAAGGAAAGGAAAGCCGTGATACGTAACATGTGTGTTTTTAAATCATATTTGTACTAAATCGTAAAATCTGCACATCGCAATACCATCCAAGGACGACGTGTTTAACAATGTTATACTGGATTTTGTTACAACGCGATTTGTAATAAGTCATTAGTAAATTACGATGGCCGCAGCGTTGGCAAACGACTCGCCCAAGTATCGCAATAGCTTGATATGCTGCAGCCCGCGGAGCGCTGATGTCACCACGAGAACTGCCTCGTCATCCTCCACCTCGGGCTGCGTCTCAGCAGAAGAAAGTTACGACTCAAATTACGTACCGAAGTCGATCGCAAACAAGAAACTCAAAATTCACAATTCAGCGACGCGAGAAGAGGTAGAAAAAGCTATAAAACAATGCAAAGAACTCGTATTGAACAGCCCTCAGTGCTCCGACGAACGAAAATGGTTGGTCAGGTATTTAGTAGAATTGAGGTTACGTTTGGAAGATTTAAAAGACAATGATGGGGAACAGAGAGTCAAGGTATCTATAAAAGGTCATCATTTTGAGCAGCAATTGAATCCTAGTAATAGAAAACAGTATTGTGATCATTGCAGTGGGGTTATTTGGAGTATAGTTCAGTGTTCATACATTTGTTCTGACTGCGGCTACTTGTGTCATTACAAATGTGTTGATGATATATGTAGGATGTGTGCGCACGTTGTGATGACAGAGAAAGGTGAATTTGAAATGAATATCTGTCCGGAAAAAGGTCTTTCGGCTCAAGATTATAAATGTGCGGAGTGTCATACTGCTTTGACTTTTAAAGATTCATGGAATGAGCCAAGGTTATGTGATTACACTGGATTATATTTCTGTACAACATGCCATTGGAATGATCTATCTGCGATACCAGCAAGAGTTGTACATAATTGGGATTGGGAGAAGCGTTATATATCAAGAATTGCATATCAAATGTTAACATTATCTTGGACAAGACCATATATAGATGTTGAGAATATAAATTCTAAGTTGTTTAGTTTTACAGCCGAGTTAGAGTGGGTGCATAAAATGCGGAAGGATTTAGAATGGATGAGAAGGTACCTATGTGCGTGCGGTGAAGGTAGCTTGTTACTCTCTCCGTTATTTATCCAACTAGGAGATGTAAATAAGAAGTACAGTATGTCCCATTTACAGGCAATAAATGATGGTACATTAGAAACTCAATTGACAGAGTTAACTGAAGTCTGTCGGTCACACATAACAAATTGTTCTTTGTGTTCCGGAAAAGGATATTTGTGTGAGATATGCAGTAATAATGAGATTCTATATCCATTTGATAGTGGCGCCATCATGTGTGAGAAATGTAACTCTATGTATCACAGAGGTTGTTGGCTTAGAAAAGGACAGAAGTGTCTCAAATGTATAAGATTAGAAGACAGGAAGAAGACAACACAAAGTGACGATGTTGATTCAAATTTAGAATATGACATAGACAAGTTTGTTGAATAATTTTTACAACAAATTACAATTGACCTGTAAATAATGTTAAATCATTTTTTTTTTATTTATTTAACATTTTCGTGTTAAAATATAAGGTTATAGTACATAAAGTTTTAATGCAACAATATATATTGTGATAGAATATTGGCTGGTGCTGTTTTTAAGATCAAGAAAAAAAGCTTTAATTAAAAAAAAAGTCTTCGAAATTTTTCAAATTCTGTGATTCATTAAAGTTGCGGCTTCAATAAATTCTTTTTAATCTATACCTTCTTTTATTTTTACCTTTCTATTCATCTTGTGTATAAAAAAAATATATGTTGCATTATTTCTAGCAAATTAACTAGGTACATTAAAGACTGACAGCATTCACAATTTACCCGTGACGGATTCAAACAAATGTTTAAAGTTCGTATAATGTAAACACGCAGTTGCAGTATTTTGCAAACTTCCTGCAACGTTATCGTAAACACAAGGTCACGCGTGTACGTCCTATTTATATTGATGTACTAAATTGTTTTACCCAGTTCAACTGTACGACCTCACTATAGATACGAAGCACGACGATTTAAATCATAATAATTGTAGTTGCATAAAAATATAGTACTACACACGTGCGGAAAGCGTGTAATGTTTTATGCAAGACTAGTAGTCGCCCGCGACTGACCGCGCGGAATAAAAAAATAATTAGTAACTTACGTGTTCTTCCAGACTGTCCTACATACATGTCAAATTTCAGCGAGATCAATGCAACTGTTCTGGAGATACCTACTAATAAATATCAATCTATCCATACATTCGCATTTATAGTATAAGTAAGAAAAAAGGCTAAGAGTTGTTCACGAGGAATTAAAAAAAAATTGTGACAAATGTAGCCTACGAGCATCTTCGTCAGTTTTGAAAAGAAATAATACTAATCATAATATTGTTACTTCCTCATACGTCAGCTCAACATTACCAAATGATGATTGACAAACATAAAATTTAAAAATTTGCCTCACCTTACTTCATAAGTAACGTAAAGACGGCTTGTACATGAAATTGATTTTTATTAACACGTCAAACGCCACTCGTAGTAGTACCTAGGGCGTAGTAGGCCGTAGTACTACGTAGTAGAGTGTAGGGAATCTATGACCTCATGAAGTTTTTAATCTGCGGAACCCAGCTCCTTATTGAACCCTTAACTAGATATAGAAGATTCCACATTACCCATCTATTTCCAGCAAAAAGTTTTTTCTATTTCTACTATGGCGTTTAACGTGTTAACAATATACGATCACTCCTACTAATAGCTTTTGGAATTTTTGGTTTGCGTATAGCTACCACCTGGTCTGTTGTAATAACTATCTTACCTGGCAATCGAGACAGCGACAAGACTCCCTATAAGTGCAGTTAGTTAATGCACTCTCCAGATGACGTAGATACTGCACTTGGTCTGACTCCAGGCGGCGCTTGCGACGCGCCAACGAGCTTAGGAAGCCCAGCAGAGAAACACGACGGGGTTTAGGCTTCGGCGGCTCGCTGGAATTTAACTTTAACTAAAGAGATGCTATATGGCGTCTTCAACGTAAGTGCAAAGCTGACAGTCTCGATGAACTTTGATTTGGACTTTAAAAACAGCTTGTCTCTATCTTTTAAAAGTGATTAGTAAATCTTGAAATCTAAACGGCCATAGCGTACTACGGTTTTATAAGTATAGATGTAACAAATTTAAGTTAAACGAAGTAATTTGACAAGATTATTTTAGTAACTCTACATTAAGAGATTCCCTTTATGTCTATTTATCTTAGTACTTACTTATCAGCTAGGCAATTGAGTGCAGCAGGACGCAGTTCCTCGCAAAGCGCGGCCTCGCTCTGACGTCTTTTGGTCCGTCTCTTCACACCAACACCTATCTCTTGTTTTTCTTTCTCGTATGTCACTAGAACACATGTTGTTAGCTTACACTTCAGAGGTTGTGTAGAGTTTTGTCAAATTAAATTAAACAAGAACTCATTCTAATATATGACCAAATTTCTTGGATATCTATGGTTCGATTCTATAGTTTGGCTAACAATACCTGACTCTATATGAAAGATAAGCACAATTAACCAGGATGCTACGAAGCAAGGTGTGATTAAACGCAAGCGTAGTCAACCCTTTTTCCTCCTGATAACTAACTGCTCTCTTGAAAAGTTTGTTTTGAATGTTACTTGAATAAACAAAAAATAGTTCTAAACTTACCAGTGACGTCACCTTCACAGTTCCAATTCCTCCTGTCAACGTCATCATAGCTGGTCTGCGGTTTGGACCACAGCTCCTGACTGCTCGGATTCTGGTATATTGTCTCCGTTGACGTGTTGCCGTTCTCTGAATCGAATCTAGATTCAGGCTGGTCTAAAACCTAGAAGTAAGGGTGAACAACGAAAATGATTAAACTATTTTTCTTTTCAAATTACGAAAATAGAACAGTAGAAATTGGACTTTGCATTGATAGAATCTAATATTTCTTGAAAAAATAATAAATACAATTGTTGTACAATAATCTAGATAAAATAGTTTTATTACCTGATAATGGGCTCTTGTTCCTAAAAAAAATACGGCTCCTGAATTGCCCGAAGTCATTTCTAATCTATAAACAAAGAAAAACATATAATTATAACCTATTTCTTGATAAATTTTCATTTCTTTTCTCATATCCGTCAACTCATTTTACGACAAAGTTGAAATTAATAACAAAAGAAATCATATTAGAGAATTTAAAAATGTTTACGTAAAATTAATTTTTACATTTAAATTCTGTCTTCAACTCTTATTAATAATTCAAATGTGATGAACTATTATGCAATAAAAGTATAAATTTACACAAACCTTACGATTATTTGTTTCTTCACTTAAATTATGTTAAATATTTGTTATAATTCCTATTTTTATTCAATTCATATACAATACTGAACAAATCTTGTGTTTATAGCGTGTAGTTTGACGTAAGCGAGACATGCGCAGTTGGGGTTTTAGTTAGTCTTAGTAAGTACAACGAACCTAATTTTTTTTATAACAGTATGGGGCAAACGAGCAGGGGGAACACCGAGGTGTTCAACGATGCTCATGGACATCAGTAATACCAGAGGAACCGCAGATGTGTTGCCGGCCTTTGAAATTATAGTTGTATTCGTAGTTATTTTCTTTATGAGCGCTTAAACGCTAAAACGTTCACGCTCTTTTCTTATAGACAGGTAGAGACTGGAGATAAAAGATTTGTCTATTTCTAGACTTATTTCGATGGTGATTTTAATAAAGGGTGTATAATTTAGAATTGAAAGAATAAACAGCTTTTTTATTTTTTTAATTAATCGTGATTGTATAGAGTTACAAATCCTTAATTTAGTTTTGGAACTCAACTGGAAACGTAAAATGTTGATTAAAGTTTAGTTTTGTTAAAATAATATTAAATAATATTGCTGGAGAACAGCTACAAATAAAATGTATCTAGTTGTCGCCCGTGACTCCGTTCGCACGGTATTAAAAAGTAGCCTATATGTTCTTCCAGACTATGTTCTACATCTATACCAAATTTCATCGAGATCCGTTCAGTCGTTCAGGAGATAACTGCAAACAAACATCCCTCTAAGCATCTAAACATTCGCATTTATAATATTAGTAAGATAATTTAATGAATATTATATCTCGTGACATTAATATAGACTAAAAAAGTTGTAATATAAGAAATGTAAAGTAAAATAAACTCTATTTTCTACAAAACAGGAGTCAAATTCGCCACACAGGTGCTGTCAGGCATATTTTATTGCAAGTCCAAGCATTCGTCATTCCAATGTGTCGCGGGGTAACTGAGTTACAGTAACTAAAGCCTAGCAATTTCTTCTAGTCGACAGAATGGCAAATGTTGAAGTTTGGGTCTTATTGCGACGGTGACAAGGTCTAAACTTGAGGCATGCGCATACTTGTTATGACGGCTGCGCAGTACCGCCTCACCGTGTGGCTACGGACTCCCTGAGTATGTAGTCTCTTTGCTTTCTTATATGCTGACACTTGCAAAAATATCAATAGCGTGATTCAGAACTTTCACAGTGTAATGAACGCTTCAGAGCTACCGCGAAGAATCAATGCGCCGCAAAATAAAATTAAGGTCAACTAACGGAAACACTGACGTTTTGCAAAACGCACAATGATCGAAGAAATAACCTTCAGTGTATAATTATTGAATAAACAAATTAATATATGTGTCTCTACCCTTTCTCAATCCATACTCTACCTCTTATTATATCTTCTTAAATGGAGAACTCTAGACTTTTTACTCTAATTGGTTTTTATTCTCATTAACTTAAAAATAATTCTTAAATTCAAATACTTTTACGGAAATAAAGTTAGTCAACTTTCTTTATGACTGAAAATAACATTAAAATGTAATATTTAATATCTCTGTAATAAAGTGCTCTGTAGAAACCGCCCAGGGAGGGATGGGAACGGGAATCTGATTTCAATGTAACTTGTTAAGGGGAAGTATCTTTAAAGCAAGTTTAATTTTGTGCCTTTAATATTTTTATATTATTTAGTTGATTTACGCCGTGAGGACGATGTCTATACAGAAAGCTAGTAAAAAAATAAATATTTCACGGTCCTTTAATAGGTAGAATTAATCGCCATATTGTTGTATTATAATAAAAAAGCTCATAAATCAATAAGAAAAATGTAAATTTGAACTTAATTTTTTTTGAGAGTATTAATGATAAAGTCTTTACCATATCAAGGAAAAACGAGAGCCATAAAAAAGAGAGTATAAAAAAATAGAATTACATTTATTTGTTAAATTGTGTTTTCTCAGTTTCGTAGATCTTCGCCTTAACAAAAGTTCAACGAAGCGTTAAGCCTGTAGAAAGTAGAACGTTGTCTGAGTCGGTACGAAGTAGTCGTATGCAGTCTGCGGCTATTAAATTAATCTTAATGGATCATATTAAAGTATTTTCTATGGTCCATTTGGAAGGGAAAATATCCTATTTGCTATTTTGGTGAATTGAGGTGGCCGCTTATTTTTTTTGCCACTTTATACTAAAAAAAATCATAATTATTAAACTCAGAACTCATTTTAGTGTTTTATAAAAATTGGCCTATACTTGTAGATATCTTGTTTGTTGTTATTGGATTGAAAAAAATGAAAATACGACTATATTTATACTAAAAGAATTAAATAGGGAATTGGAACTCACAATCTCACGTTTGCAGTTTACTATTTAACGTTTAAGCTCTTTATAATTAAAATTCAGTAGATTGAAAAAACCAAATAATTACGTATTAAAAACAGGGCGTTCTGATTTGGTACTGTTTGATTTCTCTTTAAAAAGTTTTTCATTCTTTTATGTTTTATAGAGCCCCATCTATTCGAAATTCTGTGAACTACAATGTTTCCAGGCGTTAACTATGAGACTAGCCTTTGGTTTAAAACATCTACTAACGACAACAAAAGAGATCGCTATAAAACTGCAAGGAATTAAAAAGGGAACATTCGATTTTTAAATTTATATTAAACTTAAAAACTTAAAACATATAGAAAGCTAAAAAGAAAATTCCAAAAAAATATTAAGGAGAAAACTAAAAAAAGACGATTTTAGAAGTCTGCTTATGTAAATTATAATATCAATCACATTCCACTTAGGAGGAACATAGAGATGGGACACAGTCAATTTTTACAACGATATAATCTATTTTTAAAATGTGTAGTAACGATAAAAAAATGTCAAGCGATTACTAAACGATAATTATTTTTCTGTGAAACTAGATTTGTATTAGAATATTCTCTCTTTTCTCTCTATATATCTCCTAATAACAGAAAAATAAATGAAATGTGAATTATTTATGCTGATGGTGTGAAAGTATTCAACTTTAATAGAAAAGTAAAAAGTTATTGCCTAATTCAAAAATCCTATTCAGAATGTTATCATTGTATGTACATATAAGGATTCATAACCTCCAACTGGTTTTCCTATTAGAAGCTATTAAAAAAAATCTAATAAGTAAAATTGTCGTAGTGTAAGAAACATGTGTAAAAATGATGCATTGCATAAAGTGTGGGACATCACTTCGATGACGTCAGACGTGTAAATCGATTCAACGCCAGCCAATCAGAAAACGAAAGCTGAAACACGCTTTCGATGTTTTCTAGATCGTAAGTATATATGCAAACCGGCACCTATACTGTCGGGGGAGTCCTAGGCTACGCGGTAAGCCGGTGCTGGTGTGAGGGCCGGTCTAATCCTCCGCCTCTGAATATGTCGTCGTTATCAATGTCGTCATGTATGGGTATCATATTGAAATGGAATAAAATAAAACAGTTCTTTAAAACTAAAACGAGAGTACTTCTCACAGACACCGATGTAGCCGCTTCGACTTCCTTTTGCATCTTTTTCTAATATTTCTTTTATAATATCCGATTCTTTTGGAGGAAATTTTTCATTTTTTATAGCCAATATATTCTTTGCATTAGTAACCACAAATACATTGAATAAATGGATTAAAATTCGACAACATTGTGAATGTTATTGTCCCTAATTTTTATAACTTTATCTTTATTGTCACTTTATTTTTCCTATTGGAACTCTACAACAACTGAACGAAGGATTTTAAAATAAATTTTGACGGAGTTCAAATTTTTTTTTTTGCTAAGTATCAAAACCACGTGAAGATGATATATATGGGAAATTTTCTTATGAGATTATATAGACTAAACTTTCCTTATAGGGTTTTTAGCTAGCATTTTGCGTAGTTATAAAATTGTATTCGTCGGACGTAAACAACGCCATCTACACTTGCCTTCAACACACGATACCAAACACATTGAATTTAATTTAGGAATAAAATAAAAATCTTATGCATTTAAGCGCCATCTATTATTGTGTACATACTTTTACGACATAGGATACAAAAGTATGGAGGCGATTTTTAAAATAAAGCTGTGATTTATTTTTAAAAACGTATTAAAATGAAAGAATTTAAAACAATTTGATAAAAAAAATTATATTTGGTTCATTTTTAGTTGTAATAAGTATAAAAACACAGACGCATTGAGAATCTAATCCTTTTTGAAGTCTATTAATAAACTATTATAAATAGTTACTAAGATATTATAATGATAATTATCATTATTAAATATAATAAAACAAACATAAAAAAAATAAAAACAAAAATAATACAAAACAATACGATATAAATTGTTGAGACACAAATTTAGAGGAAAAGAAAAAACAAAAAGGAGGTCATATTAGCTACTGCCGTGGGGGTGAGAGACCAAGCTCCTCTTTAGCATTTATTATCATGTCTTCATAGAGCGCTTATCATCTTCAACTTTCACTTAATTAGAACCGATTTGTCGATATAACTGTAGCAAGGAGTTAGACCGGATCCTCGCAACACCGGCTTACGGAGTAGCTACGGACCTCCCCGACAGTATTGCTCAACTTTTCTTTATATATTCAAATTGAAAATAAATTTTGATAGCGTGATTTAGAACTTTCTACGAAAACAGCGACATCAATTGATTATTTGAATAATATTCTATACAGGGAGTATTAATTCAATGCAAGTATTCATATTTTCATCAGTTTCTCTTATATTTTTGTTTATATTAAGCGTATTGTTTAAATTTTCAGTTCTCAACGTGGCTTACGTATTTTTCACTAGAGAGAAAGAGACAATGAGTGAGAAATCAACTACGTCTGTGTAATTTTAGTGTTCGTTATTGATTTTTGCATATCTCTGTCTCCATTTAGTATCCCCAGGTTGGCTTTCCAATTTTCCCCATTTCTATTTATTTCCCGCCAAAAGTTGTTTTTTCAAATATTGCTATTAAAACATTTTTATTTTTTATGGTACAATTTTCAAACATTGTTAGTATAGAAAAACTAATATTTTCTACACATCCTTAATATACAATTTATATTTTTTCCTACACCCATCCTGTATCCCTTTAAAAGTATGAGCTAATTTTTTAAGCTATTTAGCAAAGATCATACCAATAATTATTCTTTCCCTAATGTAATTTCAATTACATATATAATTTAAGAAATACGCATTGTTTTTGGAATTAACTTTCTATTGGATTCTCCCGAAAATTGAGAAAAATTCAGACTGGTGTCATAGTACCGGGATATTGTCCGCATTTATTATATAAACATGTGGTTATACTAACATTACGTTCCATTATTCACATGTACCATTAGGCGCCAAGAATGCAAGGCAAAGAGTACATTAAATATGCAAGGTTAAAAACTAAATTGAAATCGAAATGCCTTTTTCAGTTTTGATACGTGTTTATTATAATATTTAGAAGAAAATTTGAAAGTTTTCGTTTGATCTAAAATATTTCTTAGTTGTATCTTTCCAAGATTATTCGTTATTGTTTTATACATTTACTTTAATGAGGCCTTGACTTGCGCTAAATGGTATACTTTTATTGAAATCTTTCCTTATAATTCAATGCTTAGTCAAACCATCTTTGTATTTTATATTTTCCAAGGAAAAATATTTTAACAAGGCTTTGTTGTTTTTAACTATGGCAACTTCATGGTCTTAAAACTTTAAATCGTTGCACGATAGAAATAAAACTGCTTCAATAGAAATTGTTTCATCAACTTTGACAATGGCGATGTTGCACTAATATATTTGTTATTGTTCTCTCTGTTGTTAATAGTGTTGTTTACTTAGTTTTCCATTACGTTTATTCATACAAATCAAGTATATTGTTGCCATTAAATAGTAGGAGACGATTGTTGCAATTTAACAATATACAAATTATCGTCATTATAGAAACACCACGAAAGGTAGTGTTGCAATAAAATTTTGTTTTTGACGTATAAATATAATGTTTATGTCTTTGCAAATAGCTTCGTTTACTAAGATTTTCAATATTTTTGTGATGTTTGCTTCCTATTACGCTAAATTGTAAATAAAAGAACAGACCATGTTTATCAAAATGTACGTACGCGTGGCTCTACATCTAATGTCAAAAACCAAGTAGATTTATATTTATTAGAATGCAAAAGATATTTCTTTTTCATTATTGTTATTTAATAGTAAAATCACAAAATATGCCTTCAAATAAGAATGCTTACATAACCTATAAGAGCAGACTCTCTTAAGTCTAAATTGCTGTTTAGGTTAACAAGTTTGTCGCAAGTTCAAGATGATAGAAAAATTATCTATAGTGCATCTCCATATTTATTCAGGAATTACAACAAATACCTTTCGAACTAATTCTATAAACCAACATAAGGATTGTAACTACCTTGTATTAGCTCCTGTATTAACAAAAAAACTTGTTTTTCAGGCTGTATAAATCATGTCTGATGAGGAACATGGAGAATCATCATCTGCACGATTGTTGTCTTCACATTTCAAAGATGGTGTGTATTTTTACAAAATTATATGTAGAAAAATATCTTGATACTGATTATGAGTTGAAGTCATCGTTTTGAAACTATTTTTATCATTTTACATTCATTAATAATATTTTTTGATTTTAGATCAATTAGAAATTGTTGAGGTGACTTCATTTGATAAAGCGCAGGTGAGCATTTTTTATTTAACAAGTAGCTGTCGCCCTTGACTGCATTGACTTAAACAAAAAAAAAAACTTAATTACTAGCCTATGTGTTTTTCTAGACTATGTTCTTCATCTGTACCAAAATTTGTCAAGATCCATTGAGGTGTTACAGAGATACCTTTGAAAAAACATCCATCCATCCATTTAAACTTTTTAATATTAGTAAGAAGCAAGATGATTGAAATTACTGGATAATGAGATGTGAATATGATTGATTAATCAAACATTTCCTTGTACAAGATAAACAAAAAGTTCAATAGAAATAAGGTGTTATTCCAGTAGATTTCAAAAAGTTCAATAGAAATAAGGTGTTATTCCAGTAGATTTTAATTTACACCTATGGAAATCTCATTTGAAATTCCTCTTTCCCTTCCCACCTTTTTTCTTATAAGGAAAGGATGGGAAATGGAAGTGGACTTTCCGGATGAGAGGATGCACGGAAAGGGAAAATATTTTTTTCTGTGCATCCTCTCCTCCGTCAATAAAAGGTAGGCAACGCTTATGCTATTGTCATAAGTCTATGGACAACGGTCACTTCGCTATTTCCGCGATTTCAGGTGTCCGCTCGCTCGTTTGCCACCTTTTGATATATAAAAAAAACTGTTAGGACTAACCTTAACTATGTTACAGTCTTATGTATGTTATTTTTTTTTTATTAAAAAATGTATATTATAATCCCAGCTGGAGAGTTTAGATGGTCATGTGTTGGAGGCAGGAGAGAGCAGTGATGGTATGAAATATATGCAAGTTCTGGACTCAAGTAAGAACATGATGGTGGACTTACTAAACTTAACGTTGGTTCGGTGAGTTTGTGTTTTGACAACTTGATAAGTTTTTGTACTGTCTGTCCTTATTTATTTAATTAAATATAAAAATGCACAGTTTATTTAACAAAAACTTAGTCATTATATTATAAGAGAAAACATCATAACTTTTTCCTACTTATATAAATTTACTAGATATAGCCTTGGGCTTTGTCCTGAATAAAAAAAACTTGTTTTGTAGCCTTAAAGTTCTTCTATACTCTAGACTTTTCTTATTCTAAAGACTATATTCTACATCTATGGTAAATTTCAGCTAGATCCATGCAACTGTTATGAAGATACCTTCTAACAAACATCCATCTAAACATTCACATCTATATATCTATATATAAAAGAAAGTCGTGTTAGTTACACTATTAATAACTCAAGAACGGCTTTATTGATATGCCTGAAAATTGGTGAAGAGGTAGCTGAGAGCATGGAGACGGACATGATACTATTTATTCATTTTTTTCGAATTTATGCCTTGAAAATTCTTCTTTTTATTTAATTTACTAATATTATAAATGCGAATGTTTAGATGGATGTGATGTTGATGGATGGATTGGTGTGCTACACTAATTAAGTTTTTTATATATCCACGCGGACGAAGTCGCGGGCGACAGCTAGTTTATAATATTTGTAAGATAAATTTTTCAAAAAAGAACTCGTTAAGTTTTAAGATGCAAAGAACATGCAGTCTAAGGTATAGCTAAATGCAATATATTATTTCTTCATATATAAAATGTCCATTGCTACATTTTTGTTTATTTTCCACAGGAGTGAAGATGGTCAGGAGTCTTACCAGTTGGTGACAACTGCAGATTCATCTGAGAGCAATGAAGGTGAAACTGTTACTTGTGTTTTGCAAACCACTGAAGATGGGGAAGGTAAAAGAATGATATTGAAACCAACCAAAAAAAATTAATATCTCTTTAACTTTATCATGAAATACTAGCGATTGACCGGGACTCAGTTCACGGGGAATTAAAAAAAACTTATTAGTAGCCTAGTTCTTCAAGATTATGTTCTACATTTGTGCCAAATTTTATCAAGATCTGTTGAGCCGTTCTAGAGAGACTTTCAAACAAACATCCATCTAAACATTCGCATTTATAATATTAGTAATATTACTGTCAGATTGTTATCCATGACATTGTAAATGGAACAAATCTTACTAATATTATAAATGCGAATGTTTAGATGGAAGTTTGTTTGAAAGTATCTCTAGAACGGCTTAACAGATCTTGATGAGATTAGGTATAGATGTAGGACATAGTCTGGAAGAACACATAGGCTACTAATAAAGTTTCTTTTAATTCCGCACGGACGGAGTCTCGGGCAACAACTAGTATTTTTATATAAGTAACAAAAATAGTAAAAGTGAAGTTGTTATTGTTAATTTAACAACTAGCCAGATAATAAACTGACGAATTTCACACTTTATTAGTGACATAATTTTATCATATTACCTTGCCTTGTAATAAAATAAAATATTTTATACTAACAGATACGGAGAATCAAGAGACATATGTCATGGTGGACGGTGCTGATGGTCCACTGATGTTCCTGCAGCAATCTCCAATAAAGAAACCATCGCCATTGGTAATATTTTTATTAAAACGCTAGCTTTCGTCCGCGACTCTGTCCGCGCTTAATTAAAGAGTAGCCTATGTGTTCTTCCAGACTATGTTCTATATGTATGCCAAATTTCATCGAGATCTGTTGAGCAGTTCCAGAGATAACTTCAAACAAACATCCATGCATCCATCTGAACATTCGCATTTATATTAGTAAGATATGAGAAAGGGTTAAGAAACATTTTCAACAAACAAGCTTTTCTAACAATAAGTAACTCGGCATTTTTTTTTTATCTATCATAGAGTTTGTTAATATTTCTTATTGTATATATTTACAGAAGCCGGCACCTTCACCTGCAGAAATATTGGAAAGAGCTAAAGCCTTACAGAAAGCTAAGTATGTCACCTTTAGGAAATCTTTAGTAATATTATAGAAATTAAACATTTGATTTTTAACAAGGAATTAATCTCTGAAAGTTTTGAACCATTTTAGAAATATTCTTTCACTGTTGGGATTGTATTTATTACAAGTTTTAATTTCGCGTAAAGTCGCGGGCAACTGCTATGTGAGATAAAAGTTAAAGACACCCTGGGGTTCTGTAAGTCCATTGAGAAGTATAGTTGGTGATTCAGAAGTTAAACAAGAAATAATGTTAAGCGAAAACGAAATGGACACAAATATCACAGCTTATAGCCCGTCTGGTTGAATATTTTACAGGAAGCTGTCGTCCAGTGGTGGTGTGGGGGCCAGCAGGGGCCGGGGGCGAGGGCGGCGGCGGCGCGGGGAGCTGCCCCCACCGCACGAGCTGCTCGCCTCGCCCAGCTTCAAGCTATTCCTCTACTCCTGCAAGCTGTGCAGCTTCCAATGCAACGCTATCAAAGAACTCACCGCACACAAGGTTACATTGCTCCCAAAGATTACCACATTCCACCGTTTTATACAAATTCTACCAAAAGTTACCGTTTTCTACCAATTTGTAATATTTAGTAGATTTTTTATTTTCATAGTTGTCTACAGCTTTGATGTTTTCTACTACAGCTTTCTACTAATTTCTACACTTTTCTACCAATTGTTACTACTTTGTAGGCGGCGGAACACGCGGGTGGCGGGGGTAGCGGTGCGGGGCGGCGGCGCGGGGGCTGGCTGACGTCACCCATTACCCTGCAGTGTGCGCGCTGTCCGTACAGGGGCTCCACACATTGGCAGGTAATATTAACGCCTTCACACACAGGGATAAGCACATTAGAGAATTCTAGTGTCCGATCGAAACTGGTTTGTTCGGTTTTGCGCTAAGTTTTGGGCGAAATGTGAAATTAAGTCTAATTTTTAAACATTTCAAAAGTTTTTTTTTTTTTTTATTAAAATATAATTGTGAATATTTTCTAGCTAATGAAACACGTCAAAGAGAAGCACGTGGAAGCTGACGACGAAGCTATAAGCAGTGAGTATTCATTGGCCATGTTACATCTAAAATTATGTTCTACTCGGCCTTTATAAATTAATAGGCGATTACATCAAAATGACAGCCAACATAAATGCGTCCGTTGATGTGACTTGATAGTTAATACTATGTATATTAGTTTGAAGCCACACCACCCCTACCAACAACGACAAAATGGCGAAAATCAAATAGGCACAGAATACTACGTCTTATAGCCAGTCCATTTATAGAGGTAGTACCAAGACCACTCAGAAGACAGGCCTCGAGTAAGTCATTCTGTCTTTGAAGGACTAATTTTTAGAAATATTCTCTTTTTGTGTTGAAGCACAACGCTTCTAAAACTGGACGTCTATGGTTGTTTCGCTATTTCGGCGAATTTATGTGGCAGTTTGCTAGAAACGCCAATCTTATATAATAATATAAAAAAATAGTTTTCCGATTATTGTCAGTTCAGAGATGCAGTGTCAATTTTTTTTTATTTTGTTTTTCTTAAGATGTTTTTTTGTTGTGTATAGACAAGGTGTACCTGGACAGCGCGGAGGTGGCGGCTGCAGATGTGCTGGTGTGCGGTGCTTGCGGCTTCGAGTCCTCCTCCCGGCAGACCTTCAAGTTGCACATAGAGCAGGACCACGGAGCTAATACTTGCTGAACTTACCACACACAGAATTTAATTTCCTACCCACGCGGGTAACTTGTAACTTTCAGTGTAGTGTGATACTAGAGTTGCCCGGTTGTTACTATTAGTCATATCAAGGCAAATATATTAGATGTTCAGACATAAGGCACTAGATGTTAAATTTAAAAAAAACACCTCACGTAATTTATGGACGCCAAAACAAAAAACAATATATAATTGTGATCTAATTTCACGAAATTTGTAATTAGATCGCACAGCGTTTCTTTAGTAAACAGTAGATTTCTGTTCTTATCAAATCATGTTATAGTGTTACAACAGTGGAGACGCACTGATAGTTGTAATACGTACGTATATAACTTGCATTGTGAACGAACTTTCAATCCACCTGGGTAGTAAAAAAAAGTCCTCAACTATGCAGTGAGATTGAGGGACGTTTATTTACTACCCACCTTTCGACAAACTATTGTTTGTGTTTCCTCCATAGAGTTATTGTGTAACATATGTCGGGTTATTTTCTTAATAAAGTACATTGTATTATCTGCACAATATTTAAAAACATCGTATAGTCTTACTAATATTATAAATGCGAATGTTTAGATGTATGTTTGAAGTTATCTCTGGAACGGCTCAACGGATTTTAATGAAATTTGGCATACATGTACATCATAGTCTGGAAGAACACATAGGCTAGTTTTTTTTACGCGCGTACGGAGTCGCGGGCGAGGACTAGTATGTTATAAAATTTATTTGTCATTTTATTATTCACTTAAATGATATCAATAAAATCTTTTGTTAAAAGTACATTTTGTGTGCATTTTCGCTTTTAATATTGTGAAAAATTAAATATATGATAGTTTTTCTGTTACTTAATAATATATAATTGCAGTATTTAGTAATTGTACAGGGGTTTTAATAAAAAACCCTTATTTGATAATTAACTTAATATCGTAGAACATGAATAGCAAAAAGACATAGAAAACTGATCTGACATTACTGAATTCGAAAATATAAATTTCTTCTTTTTCCTATTAGTAAATGGCAACTAAACTGTAAAAACTCCTTGAACAGTAATTAATAAAAGAATAAATATTTTTTTATAGAATTTGTCATAGATATTGTGAAAAAATTACGTCATTACGGAGCTGTAAGAATTCATAATAAATGCAAAATAAATACGATTAAAGTATTATGTTAAATAAAGGCTTTTAATTAATTTTATATGTTTTTGTTTTATTTTTTCCTTTGTCTCGAGCGTACACTCCATAAGTACATGCCGGAGAGAGTGCGGCGTCAGTCGATGACCTTTGGACCGGTAGCACGTGTCGGTACGTGAACGAGCCAAATCTAACGCAACGAATGCTACACTCATATCCTGCAATTTTCCTTTCATACATCATTTAGGGATGGTTTTTAAATAAAAAATAATATCAAAATAAAATATACATAATCTATTTTATTTCTTTAGTAAATCTAAAGTAAAATTATTCTTATAAGTAAACTTAAATATTACAATAATTAAGATTTCTACATTGGGACAATGAAAATTTTAAACATTGTATAAATTTATCAATTTAACGGTTGGTTTCGGAGACCGAAATATCTATATAAAACGTATTATCCCTGTATCTACCACCAAACAGAGATAACATGTTTTAAACGACGACTTTTGGTCTCAGAAACCCACAGTAAATGATTCACTATTAAGTTTATTCATAGTTCCAGTTTGAAGTTTTCTAAATAGATTTTATAAATTTACTACATAATCGGACTTTTAAAAGTGAAATTCAGATTATTGAATAAAATACAATAAAATTCCAATATTTCAAATCCTATTCGGTTGTTAAAAGGTAAATTTCATCCGAGAAAGCCCAAATAAGATTTAGAAATTGTCCAAATCGATATTATTAACAATAGAAATAGTCAAAACCTTAAAATAGAACTCCATTTCAGTGACACTTTTTATTGTAATCTGTTTTGTTAACTGTGGGTTTCTGACATCAAATTTTTTGTATTAAACATATTGTCATCAGAGATAACAAGATGTTTTATACTGAAATTTTGATCTTGGAAACCCACGGTAAATAGAATTTAAAGTAGATTTCTACAGTTAAATGTAAAAAATACACAGTCCATGATACTAAACACTTTGAGTTCATCGTTGAGGGCACTCTATGTGCTAGGGACACTTCCTCTCCAGCTGACCTTTGCCTCCCTCATCATACTCCTGAGAAGAGATCCACATCTGCTGGAAGGAACCGATCGATGCCAGGATTGATCCACCTGCAAAATAAAAGATTAAGATGTAAATATAAATTATAGTTAGTATTAAAACGAGATTTTACGTTAAAGCAAATTACTAAATATGTTCAGAGAAAAAAAATGTTTTTTTTTAATAGCTAGAATGACGTATAAAAATTGACAGTTGACAGTCCATTCTTGACGCCAAATGATAGATTTAGATAGATGATTGGATCTTAGTTTGAAGGTATTTCCAGAACAGTTCAACGGATTTTGATAAAATTTGGCACACATGTAGAACATAGTCTTGTAGTACACACAGGCTATTTATTTATCTTGTTTTTATTCATCGCAGTCTGAATCGCGAGCGCTAGCTTCCATTATGAAAGGAATCAAAGTTAATTGCGAGTCTCAAATACCTAGCCATGCAGCAAATCGTCTCTCCTGTGGGGATGGTGCTGCGTGCGTCTTGAGGCGGTGGCTGGAGGGTGCGCGCGCTGCCAGCTCCCTGGCGACGCGGTCAGGCCAGCCCGCCAGCGCGCTCAGTCCGCCGCACGCCACCACACCGCCCCACAGCGCGGGCCGCGCGTCCGCGTCGCATGCTCCCGCTGCACTGCATACTGCAACACACATACACCATACTGCATGACCTGGACAAGCTATATATAACAAGGGTTGTCACAGTATGTTCTCTTCCTTACATCCTCTTTTTCCAGAAGGAAATGTTTTATGCAAACTCCGCGCCCCGGGGTGGATGTGGATGTGGAATTATCTTCCGGATGGGAAGATTACCCCATAAACTCCTTTGTTCCTCCTATGTATATCCCCTTTCGATGGGGAATTCACCGGACTGTACATTCGTATCAGCCGTTATATCTAAATGCATTTCTTTTTTACGCATGTTATTCACATGTTGTATGCCACTGACCTGGATATAGCCAGTGCATGGCTATGTATAATTTTTCGCCATTTTGGCGCTAGTATCGTATAAGAGCAAAAATGACTTTCGCTTATTATGATTTCTCACTACCTTAGGCGAGATTCGAGCCCTAAGAGTTGAGAACTTGTTTGAGCTGATGAGGAAGAGTATTTGAGTGTAACCTAGTTGTGCAGCGCCCATGGTCTGCTCGAAGAGGCACTCAGTGAGTTTGAAGCGCTCAGGACCGAAGTCCTGGTGGTATCCGCCGGGGAACTCGTGGTGCACGCCGGGCACCGCCGCCGCCACGCGCTCCTCGTACGGATTCTCTGACACCTGCAACATAACATATGTACTATCAAGGAAACTGCCGGTGTTTAAGATAGCAAGTTTGAACGTTTAGACGACGACTCGTAACTTTATATGACATAACTTTTCTGTGTCTACGAAAAAAGAACAGTCAGTCGTATTGGTTATTTGTTAGAAGAGTAGTTTGTCTGTTTAGAAAGAATAAGGCAATATTTCTGAAAGTCGAACACCGCCAAATGCCCTGACTGTACCTATACCAACATTTGTAGTCTTCAGACGCATCGATGGCAGTGAACGTGTTAACGCACCATTTGATTCAATGAGTTAAATCATCAAAGTTAAAAAAAAATTGCATCAAAATCTTTTTTTTATACTAGTAAGTACCTATTATCGTAAGTACCAACATTATGTATAGTAAAAATCAATATAATAACAGCACTCACTTGTGCAACACAATGACAGAAGTCTTCGTACTGACGTTTGAGCATATACTGCTGCCAGGACTGCGTGAGGCCGGCGGGCAGATTCTTCAACGTATACTTGGCTCTCTCCCGTTCTCTTATCACTTCTTTGCTCTGAAAATTGTCGACACATATTATTAAAAAACGTGCATAAGCTTACTAATATTATAAATGCAAATGTTTAGATGGATGGAAGTTTGAAGACATCTTCAAAAGGCTGAACGGACCTAGATGAAATTTGTACATATAGAAAATATTCTGAAGAACACATAGGCTACTAATTAAGTCTTTTTCAATACTGCGCAGACGGAGTCACGGACGACAGCTTGTATATTTAGAGTAGATTGGTTTACCTGTATGCTGTATATAGGTAGCATCTGTATGTGCATGTTGTTGAGCATTATCTTGGCCTGTGCTGCAAGGTGGTCTCCGCCCAGAGGTGACCGAACCGCTGCAGACACTATGGCATACCTATTGGCATATATAACTCATATAGAGACAATTTTATTACAAGTACTAAATAATATATTTACTTGGTATCTTAGAAATTATATTTTATGTTGTATTTAATATTTCTCCCAAGTAAGGGCTGTCAGGTGGCCGGCCATAAAAATATAAGCCAAAACCTTAAGGTTTATAAAAATCTTATGCGCCAGCCCTACTTAAGTGGGATAAGACAAGAAAGAAGACTTGGTGTCCTAGAAAAGTTTTCAATATTACGATTCAATCTACACATGTCAGAAGAAATTCAAAAAATATTTGTGAAGTCAACCAACCCGCACTTGGCCAGCATGAGACTATGGCCTAGTCACCCCTAACTTTGGGTAGGCTCCGAGCCCCTCGGTGGGGTCGTATAGTGAGCTGATGATGATGATTCATATAAAATGTATTTAATATTTACCCGTCAATAACTGGTACAGCAGAAGTCTGACTTGCTCCAGCATCTAACACTAAAGCTGTAGACTTTCCATTAGCAAATGCAGCAAGTACAGCATTCTTAACAAGGAAGAAAGCGGGCGCCTGATACTTCTCAAACAGTAACTCCGCTAATTTCTCTCTTGCAGGTCTTGTTGTCCATACCGCCTCAGTGAAGAGTGCTGGATGATGTTCTGATGGAGAACGGATCACCTAAACAACAACACTTAAGTTAGTTATCATTTTATACACAAAAGTTGTTTCAAAATTTGCTGCTTTATCACAATTTTCTCATGTGTGATATAATCTTAGTGACTTACTTTAGAATAACAGTAGTCCAACATTTTCTCAAATAAATCCCAGTTATCGACCTGCCCATCTTTCATATATGTTTGTATTTCCATCCCGGGCCTTGGAACATGAATTTCTGTTACATCAATGTAGTGGCGGAGTTCATTGCCTGTTTTTGCAGCTGTAAAAGTTAACAATTACGTTATAATAACGTATAATACATCCATATTGCCAAGACAGTCTTGTAAATCTGCTATTTTAATCATGTTTAACTTTTCTAACCTTCTTTTTCAAACAATATTATAATAAAAAAATTGTGTATATGTGTATTAAATATACAATAACATGTTCAACATATTGTTAATACAATCGAATTGATCTATAATAGCAGTAATCTATAAATGTGAAATGAGATTATTAAGACTTGTTTTATTTAAAATGATGTGGAATAGAAATGATTAACTAACCGCTCTGTGTGATATTGCCATCTGGAACCTTCTCTTCTGCATCAGGAATGTGAGTAGCAGGTCCAACACCGATCACGGCAGGGATATCGGCTTTAGGAGTATCTTCTTGTGCGTAACCAACACGCAATGAATGATGTCCCGGATCAAACACTAAAGCACCTATTTCATCACCACCATACAACATACCATTGGGTCCACTCATTTTGAATCACTCTTTCTTAATTATTGTAAAAATAAACTAACATAAAATCGAGAAAATATCTAGCGGTACGAAATCGCGTTCAAAAATATTTCTTAATTTGACAACACTAGGGTTGTGGATGACGCTTTGAATGCGATTGTAGAGCGAGCAATCGATTTTTGTTAAAGCTCGAATATCGATTTAGAGAAAAAATGCTAATAAAGCATTTTTTATATTTGTTTTTATTAAAATAAAATTAATATTAAAGTGTTACAATATCGTTAATTAACACCAATTGGTTAAGAGTTAAGGATGTGAACTGACTAACTTGCCGTGGTTTTAAATCCGCCTTTCGAAACATTAATGGTATTTGATATTTTAAGGAAGTTCTTTTAGGTTATTTAAATTCTTTTTATTAAACATGCTATTAACGTATCACTTTCAATAACAAACTTGAATCACATAATAATATGATGTCTACATTTTCGTTCGTTTCTTGAATTATAACAATCTTATTAATAAACTGTAAAAAGGAAGATAATATATCAGTGATAAAATGTAACTGGAACTTAACTGTCGAGCTAACGAGGTACATAAAGAAGTGAACACGATATCCTTAGACCTTGTTACGGTCTGTTATTAAATACTTAATATCAGACATTTGCACTGACTTTGTCTGAGACATTTTTTTAAAGCGATAAAAAGACAATATAGCATCTAATCTAATTAAACTAACGTGTTTTTTAATTTATTTATAGTCTATTACACGTTATATTTTGATTTGAAATTTATAACCGTGTTTGCTGTGTCGACCAAAGTTGTTACTAGGAGAGTTTTAAGGTTATCTACGAAATCTACTACTGTTATAAAAAAAGTCCTATTTACCTATCTCCCTTAATTTTCATTAATAAAAAAAATATTATTTCCTTTAATATAATCCACCGTTAAACTTCCTTATTCAATTGGTGGCAATTTGAGAAAAAAAAAACAACGTAGAAATCTTTCTAAAGTTATGCGTCCATTAGCACGCGCTCGACACATGGCACGCACGGCCCCCCAACAGATTTTAATTTGCTTTGTATGATTTAACATAGCGCTGCGCCCATCATCCGCGTTACCCGCATTTATTCCAGACAAAGGAAATCCGTTTATTTCTGTGCTTACGGTGCGTTCGGCCAATGGACGCGTACCTTTAAACTCTCGTCTAGAAGCTTTTTAATGAAAGCTCATGTTACCTCAAGTAAATCAACCGGGAATTTTTTTAACCTTAAATGAATATTGAAATATAAATCGTAATATAAAGGGTTAAAGTTCAATATAAGTTAACATTTTAATACTTATGAAATCGAAGTTAAATGGATTATAAACATAGTGCGCGCGCATCTACGACGTAGCACACAAAATGGCGGTAGGTTCTTTTACGTAGACAGATGTTAACTTATAATTTAAAAAATGGTATTATTGTTTTTAATCACGAATTATAAATCGTTTAAAATGTTTCAATATGTTTTTTTTTAGAAATTAGTGTATAACAAGAGAGTATTTTAAGTTTTATGAAATTAGTCTTTTGTTTGTAATTGCGAGTAAAATAACATCGACGTGTAAAAGAACCTTAGAGATCTTAGTCAGTCTGATTTGGTCAGTGGCTGTGTGAACGTATTTCGTAATTTTTAATCTTTAATACGTGTTTTTTCATGAATAAAATCATCTATTTTATACAAAAGTCTTCATATATTCTTATTTTTCAATAAATTATTATTAATATTTCTAATATATTAGTAATTTTGTTGTGATTTTCATAATTTTCATTTCCTAAGACGTATTTATTTACAATTAAATTGAATGTGGACATTATAAACAGAAGGGTTCCAAGCATTGATTGAAATACAGCGGTAAGTATAACAGTCATGTTAAAAATTTATTTTTTATTATTTTCTTAAAAATTACGCTTCAATTGATTTCTAATCAAGTAATATATTATGGGTCTTGTATGAATTTATCTAAATAGTTTTATTTTTAAATTGTAACTTATTTTTTAATTCATCTTTTTTTTCTACATTGTCCAAAACCGGAGAGGTTTCCCCTTGATAATTATTCAATCTAAAGAAGTGCTACAGCGTAGCTATTACTTGCGAGCGCAGGACGTACGAATCCAATGTATACTTATTTATTGTTTTTTTTAATTATCTCAATCAAGATTATGGACAATCTGCGATTTATTTTGCATATGAGTCTGAGTAAATCTATGCATATTTATAAAATTGGTGTCTCTGTATGTAATACTAGCTGTGCCCGCGACTTCGTCCCCGAGAAATACTGTCTTTGAGTTTCACGTGGCACTGGACAGTACTTGGACATTGCAACATTACTTTATATTTCTAAAATAAAAAAAATCTAAATTAAATGTAGCCTAAGTTACTGCTTAGTATATTAGCTACCTGCCAATAGCAGTCCCGTCAAAATCGGTTCAGCCATTTCACAGATTAGCCGGAACAAACAGACAGACAGACGAAACTTGTATAAAAAGGTTATTTTTTATATATATGTATAATATTTTAGTAAAAAATGGTTATTTAAATAATACTAACAGACATTCCAATGTTATTTATATTTGTATAGTTGTATAAATTATAGATTGAAAAAAAAAATGTGCATTGGTGTATTTACGTTACTTATAAACGAAAAATCAATTATAAAAAGATTTTGTCTGTCTGTGTTTGTTTCAGAGTAATCTCCAACACGGATCATTATTGTAATCAGCTGGATCATTCATTCATTCAGCAAATTGAAATCATTCGAAAGCACTTGCTGCTTTTGTTAAATGAACTTTTCACATCCATCACATAGGACGAGAAAAGATACTACGTTAATTGAATAACATTAAATCGAAAATATAAACCTTTCTTTAGAGTAGGCTCTTAGTAATATATGAAAATTCTTGTTAATCCTCTATTTAAATATTCACGCATATTCAAATAACAAGCGTCGTTTTCACACTTTTGCTATTTTTTTTCGTAAGGCGTAATCTGCTATTTAACATGTTTGATGTAAAAATAGCTAAATAACGGCACGCAAACAACGGATGTTAACTGGTTAACACGAAATAATAAATTGCCACATTGTTTGTATAAAATTATAATACTTTACTCATTTTGATGACGATATGACCTAGTAAATAATGTTTGCAAGCATCAGAATCGTGAAATTAAAGAAAATGCATATTTTAGGAAACACAAATATATTGATTTTAGACGTGGCCATCTGGATTCGCTAAAGTAGCGAAGCCCATGGACATTCGCAATTGCAGATGTGTTGCCTACCTTTAATCGAAAGAGGCGGGGAGGATCGCTCCTCCGTCAAATTAACTTCCCCTTCCCATCTTTTCCTTATAAGAAAAGGGTAGGAAGGGAAAGAGGATTAAAGTCAGACCTGTGGATTCTTAGAAAACAGACCTAAATAATTAAAAGACCTGAGAATTAATTTTTGATGTTCACACATAATCGTATTTTCTATCTACATGATTCGCTTGCAATAAACGAACAGTTTCATCGTAATGCGATTGTCTAGAAATCTAGATGATAAATTTTTAAGTCTAGACCAGACTTTATAGCTGTCTGAGCTGACTTGAATGTCTCGTTTATTTCGAACAATTTTCAGTAAATTAAATCTAGCAAGACGCTGGTTTAGACATTTTCTTCAAAGTGAAATAAATTCAAAGCACTTTCGAAGCGAATCCGGTGAAAAGCGATTTCAATCAGTAGCGGCGTTAGGGTAGGGTCAGGTGGGGCGATCGCCCAGGGCGCTGGGGATAAGGGGGTGCAGTATTTTCCAGGGTGGGATTTAAAAGGATGCCTACAGTGTCCGCTAATATAAATCTTTGGAAGATTTTCACAGATACAAACAAGGGGGTGTCGCAAAAATCTCGCCCAGGGCGCTTGAAATGTTAAAACCGGCCCTGCTTTCGCTGATGAAATTTAAATTATTCCCGCGGTCTCTTTTCCCTTTGAGGAGGTGAATGCATCGCAAATTAAATTGCCATTTTAATAGTTATTATACAAGTGGCAATTCAAATTAATTACAAGGTTATTTAAATATCGTCTTTAATAGTATATTTTATGAAAAGCTTTTGCAATAAAATAACGTGAATTTACTTTGAACGTGAACTATTGAAAATTGTAACATTAACCATTGGTTTCTAAGATCAAAATATCTGTATAAAACATATTGTCATTATCATTTATTTTTAAAAAAACAATATGTTTTAAATGGACAGGTTACAGGTTACAAAAGGAACTGAATATTTCAACTAACTGATCTCTAAAACATGAGGATATAATTAAGCTTTGTATTACAATAAGACAGTATAAATGTTATCAGACCGACATGGGTGCTAATTACAAACTTATGCTATTGGCGGCTACGTAACTAGAGTTAACTAATTGTTTTCATGACATATTTGGTGTCATTTTTTTAATATTAGAACAAACTAAAATGTAATCAAAATCAATATGTCAAAACAAAAATACGAACATTTTTATCGTAAAATTTGTAACATTTAATAATCTTATCTTGAAGGTATCTCCAGAACTGCTCAACGGATCTTGATGAAATTTACATATATAGATGTAGAATAGAATAATCTAGAAGAACACGTATGCTGCTAACAATGTTTATTTAACTCGGCGCAGACAGAGTCGAGGGCGACAGTTAGTATATATGTTGGTGAGCGAAGTAAACAATTTATCCCGAAGTACTGAGGTCGGGCACGTTCCATTCTTAATTGATATTTAATCTGAAAGCGAGGTATCGAAATTAAAATCAGCGCTTCTTATTAAAAGAATAATGGTACTTAATTTATTATAGCTAGTCTAAGTATTAATCGAACTTATAGTAAGAAATAGCATTGCAGGATTACTTGTATTTTGCTTTTGTATAGCATAGCATGTGTTAGGAAGAAAATCCGACAGTGTGCCGGTGTATCGGCTCAACACTAGCTTTATTAAAATATCGACGTTTATGTCCCCTCACTAATCAATCTGACACTTGACTTTGTTACGAAAGTACATCATTCGCGGCAAAGGATTCTAACTAATATAAAATATGTTTATAGGGAGGGAGTTTAGGGGTTCGACGAAGTATGACATTGTGACAAGGGGCGGGGAGGAGTCACAAATCCCATGACATTTTTCCAAATAAAATGTTTTATATCTAAGTATTACATTAAAAAAGTACACATCAACTTTACACCGTTTTTTTTAATTTACCAATAAAAAAAAATGTATAATTGCAAAATATGTAGCGTCATACTAGGTAGGAAGCGGGTCTCATAAAAGTGACCAATTGTAACTACCACGGGGTAGGGGTTAAAAACATCATGAAATTCTAGGGACTCATAATAATAAAACAAAAATAATTATTTAAGATTCCATCATCAAAATATAAAGTTTTCATAAACTAATATTTGTAATTTATTTTCCGCTTGCGAGCTGAGGGATCGTGTGTCCAAACTCCATTACTGCGCTATCGATTTTAGATTTATCTTTCTACTTTGTGAAGCTGCGGGTACACTGTCTTGATATCTTGTTAGATAAACTACAGGCAATTGTTTTATAGAACTATTTTACTAACATTATAAATGTGAAAGTTTAGAATTAATGTTTGTTAGAAGGTATCTCCGAATCATCAATACAGAAGTAGAACATAGTCTGGAAGAACACATAGGCTACATATTAAGGTCTGTTTCGACAGCTACTAATATAACATAAAGGAACACATATTTTTATTACTAAACTATAATAATTCGCTAAGTGTATATAACTAATAAATTAAAACGAATAATTTAACCAAAACTTTTTAACATAAAAATAATTTAAACATATCTTGCGCCGTGCATGCAAATTTTGAGACTCGATTTCTATGAAACAATGAATAATCAACTAGCGCATGGTTAACCAATATATACAAACTGCCTAATTACTAAAACATTTCCATATAAACATGTTATCTCGATGAAGTCGAGGCTGACCGCTGGTCTTATTGTAAATGCAGAAATGATTGGATGGATGAATAGATGGATGTATGTTTATTAGAAGGTATCTCCGGAACAGTTGCATGGATATGCTATTTGGCATAGATGTAGAACATAGTCTGGATGAACGCATAGGTTCTTTATTTTGCGTGGACAGAGTCGCGGCGACAGCTATTTAGTTATAAATATGAAATTACTAACTTTTTTTATTCAAGTTAAGTTGAAAAATATTTGTTCAAAACTTGTAGTACACAAGTTTTTTGTAATTAATACAGTTTTAAATCGTTATAAACGCATAATACGAATTTATTTTATTTCTTTTATAAATGTAATACGATTGTTTCAATGTAAATTTTGTTGACATTGACCTACTTTATGCCTGTAATTCTCAGTTCGTTAACTCCGAGACAGTTGTAGTACGAATAACTTTGTGAAAATCAAGTGCTGTTCAGCTAACTGTTGAGAAGTTTGTACAGATTATATATTCCTGTCTATTTATAAGTACTTTAAAATTTTACGATAACGAAAAGCCAATTATTACATTTTTTGTCTGCCTGTATGTCTGTCCGTGTTTGTTACGGGTAATTTCCGGGTAATCAACGGTTGGACCAAACGGAAGGTAGCTGAAGCACGCTGGCATATTATAGACTACTTCGTTTTTAAATTCTTCGCTGACGAAGTTACGGGCGACCGCTAGTTATAAATATACATCGTGTGTATTTCCACACTAGCTGTCCCCCCGAACTCTGTCCGCTCGTAATTACCAAAAAATTTTATTAGTAGCTTAACTTAGGTAATTATTCGTTTTTAATATTTTATTTAATATCATAGATTTATTATAATTGCATATCTAAAGTGTGTTCGGGTTACATTTCTTGCGGAATGTGGACTAATTTAAATTTTGGTATATATTAGTAGTCTGTGTTCTTGCAGACTATGTTTTACATCTGTCCCTTCAAACAAACATCCATCCATTCATTCGCATTTATAATTTTAGTAAGATTGCGATAATCTGTAGCGAATGTAGGCTCCCTTTGTTCTGTCAGTCAAATGGAAACACGTTGACATTTCCAATGAAGACGAAAGATGAACGAAGCGTTGCGTTGTTGAGACGTAATACCTTTTTATAGAACTTAGTGAAAATAAAAGCCTTTTGAACGTAATAATATTTTCGACATTTTCTTTTATAAGAGTACATTTTATATCTGTAGTGTAATATTAACATTCTGAACTTTAGTTACGATTAAAAAAAAATAATTAATCTGCGTTTTTTCCATTTATTCCTTTACAAGATTTTGACTCCGTTTATGCGGAATTAAAAAACTTAATTAGTAGTCTTCTTTCAGACTATGCTCTACATCTATGCTTTATTTCAGCGAGATCCGTTATGCAACAATCATACGTGTATTTAAACTTTTGCATTTATAGTATTAGTAAGTAAGATCGAGTTTAAAATTAGATTAAGAAAAACATGAATGGCATAAAAATTATTTTTAATTCAGTTGCGGGAAAAAGTTAGTGACGTTTATAATTGGCTTTAACGTGTACTTTTGTTTTTAACTTAAGATACTTTTTCAAAAAGCGAGTGCGGCTCACTTACTTCTGATAGGCAATTATGGCCGCTGACGGGAAACATCAACTAGTCGCCCGGGAACTGACAAAATGTTCCAAAATGATCCTACAAATAAATATCACTATTAGGAATTATCAATCTTACCAATATAAATGCCAATGTTTAGATGAATGGATTGATGTCCGGAATGGCTAAACAGATCTCGCATACATGTAGAACATAGTCCGGAACAATACATAGGCTACTATTTTTTTTTTGTTAATGCGCGGGCAACAGCTAGTCTATTAATAATGTTAGATATTTTAAAATATTTCATCTTAATTTATTTCTTTCAACTTCTTTGAACTTAATATTTACTTAGCTAAAATAACTACGAAGTATTCCGATATCAAAAATTAAATGTACTGCGCAACTCTAGGCACGTTAAAATTTAACGCCATTTTGAAACAGGAGTTTGTGTTGAAGCAAGTACATCGTAAACCGCTAAGAGACTACTAAAGAGGTTAAGGTCCAATAATCTAGTATTTAGTACGTAAAGCTTCTTTAAATGTAATCTGACTACCTCCTTTTTAAAATTACGAAGATTATTTATGTATCTTAATGCAAATACTTAGTGTTCCTTGGCTCGAAATAAAACAAAGAAAAAGAAACGGGACCCTTATAGGATTAATATTGTTGTCCGTCCGTCTGTCTGTCTATCGTGACAATTTTTAACACAGTAGTTTAGAAATCTATTTTCTAGACTATTTTCACAATTTTACTGCTCGCCCAGGTGGCTATATTTCCCACTACACCCCGCTGGGTGTGCTATAGACTCTAGGGGGTCAACCTACAACCGGGGTGTGCGTATTCATAAGTGTCCATACCCCGGTAAACAGTGAGTTGAGGGAACCAGAGGGGATTTAGTGGATAGGCTCCATGTCGATTTCCTTCTAGAGTAAGGGATGTGGAGAGAGTCCCACATAACCGGAGTGTCGTTCCCCGGTACGCGTAACGCATTCTTCCTCTTAAAAAAGGGGGTCAATCTGGAACACTTTGGGGATTAATAATATAAAATAAGGCCTCTAGTTTACGTCTTTATTCTTGCGGCTGTCTTCAGTGGTTCAATTTTATTATTTATAATTTGTACGTAAAGTTACTTTAAAAAAAAACTTAATCAAAAAGTATTCATTATTTTTTTTTAACTAAAAAAGTCACTTTAAGTTACAATTTATTCATAAAAGCGCCTGCAACTTGGTCCTCGTTCTTGTATTAAAGTAAGGAAGGTCTCAGACGTTAGTTTCACTTTGAAAAGATAAATAAATCAACGAGACAGAATAAAACCATAGTAGAGTTAGCTTTTCTTAAATCTTACTTAAGAAATTCGTTTACAATGTTGCTTGTTTGAAAAAGGAATAAAAATTATTGTTATTTTCTATGAAAGAGTTCGGATTTATATGTCAATTATTTGTTTCGTCAGTTTGTAATATGATTGGGAATATTATAAACTGTGGATTGCGACTGTACATATACTGCAAAATTTCATCTGGATGCATGTATTCTGGAGATCCCTTTTAATAAACATCCATCCAAACCTTCGCATTTATAATATTAGTAAGATGTTGATTTTTTTATTTATAAAGAACTAATATATATTGAACTTAGCAATCTTATAAGGTACAACAAAAACCTTTTAAGGCGACGACGAAATAATTAATAAAGTTGCCAACTTTCTTACATGACTCGATGCGAAAACATTTTGTAGGGGCTTGCGAATTTCAAACTTTTACTTCCAATTACCTTCCGATGTTTTTACACGGAGGAAAATTAGCGAGAAACCTTATTTAGTCAATTGTTTTGCCTTTAATTTACCAAATGTTGCTTTTAGCTATAAAATAGATTTGAGAATATTACTATCTTAAATACTTTTTACTATTATAAATGCGAATATTTAGATGGATGGATGTTTGAAGATATCTCCAGAACGGCTTCACGGATGTCAATTAAATTTGGCATACATATAGAACATAGTCGGGAAGAACATATAGGCACTTATTACGTTTTTTTTTTAATTCTAAAGCTAGTAAATAATAGATTAAATAATTTTACTTGCAGACAATGGCGCCTGTGAAGTTCGGATTGTTCAAAGCCCGCAGCAAAGACCACCAGGAACAACCGTCTACAGAGAATCTGCTGCAAGACAACAACAGCAATTATAATGGTACAGTGCGATACAAAATACATTTGTAAAAATACTATAGATATACATAAATCATCTGTCATACAAAGTAATTAAGATTAGCTGCCACATAACAGTTGATTTCCGTGACCAAAATCTCTGTATAAAGCATATCGTCATTGTAGTGAATGCATAAACGTAGTGTTGTATGTCTCGAGCGTACACGCCATAAGTACATGTCGGCGAGAGGGGACGGCAGTCCATGTCAGACCTTTGGACCGGTAGCACGTGTCGGTACGTGAACGCGAGCCAAATATAACGCAACAATGCTACAGTCATCCCTGTCATTATCTTTGACAAAACAGAGATAACAATATGTTTTAAACGAGGATTTTGGTGTCAGAAACCCACGGTCGTTCCGTGAATTTCCAATACATTAATCTTTGTAAAAAAACAATGGCATCTCATCTAAACCAATGGATAGTAATGGTCGATGGAGTCATTAATTAAACTGTAATTAAACATAAATTTTGTAATACTAGTTCCGGGCTCACCCGTGCCATCTACAAGCAAAGGTCTGCAAGAAGATCTCTCGCCTGGGAGTATTTCCATGCTCACTCTGGATAGCGATGATGAGGATGATGTAAGTTATTATATCTTGCTAATATCGTGAATACTAATTTTTCGATGGACGGATGGTCCTTTGTTAGAAGGTACGCTTCACGGCTAATTTTTATAATGTTTTTAGCTTCCCAGCGAGAGGAACTCTCCAGTCAGACGCGGCAGCGACGCTTGTAGGATGGATGCACAGGTATCCACATTTTTTCTAGCTTTATTATAAGATAGAAATGAACAATGCATTTTTGTATACCAATGACATCTAATGTTATGGATAGGTCGCGGCTTGGAAATTACAGCTATATATATTATGCTTCGTTCCGATTTAAAATTGTCAAAGCTACTGTCAAATCCAAAATCAAATACGCACAAAAAATCACCGCTTATAGCCTACCCATGTCTGTGACAAATACCCATTACATGACATTGACAGCAAATTATAGTCTGACCTACTACTCTAGATACTTAAGCTATTAAACTTTTTGTTTCCCAGATAAATTACGAGCTATTAAAAAGTCAGACATCTATTGGCGATGTTAGCAATCTTAATGAATACGACGAGGTGGAACAGTACGAGATGGAGGAATTCCAACAGAATATAGACCTGGATCCAGATGGCACGTTGTGTGATGCTAATTCTTCAGAATTTGACATAACTTCAATAACAGCGAGCAACCTCTCTATATACTGCGCCTCGCTTAAAAAACCAAAGAAGAGTAAATCAAAGGAAGAACAACAATTAAGAGATTTTGACATGTGGCAGGCGAGCAATATTGAAGTTATGCAGGTGAGGATTTATGTCACTTTAAATTGCTTATTTTAGTAAATAGAAGTACCAGGACTGAGTGTCCAGTGGAAATAGGCTCTAATAGGAATTTTTAAGCTGAATATAATTGTAGAAGCGTCTGTACCCATTATTATAATTACATAGTTATGTAAATAATACAAAATAAAACGTACCGAAAAAATGGTATATAAACTTAAAGGAACAAATAATAGCTACACTTTAAAGTATATTGTAAAACTTATTTTGCAACAAATTGTATTCCAAAGTAGCGAAGAGTGTATTTATTACGTCTGAGTGCAATAAAGTATATAAACACTTAAGTATATAACATTGTTCTCGATTTATCTCTCAAGTCCGACTCGAGGTTTATCCAAGATAAAGCTTTACTTCTACAACTCGTATCTCACAAAATGCACTTTAATACTTTTATTTGTTATCTCTAAGTTGCTTTGAAGTTATAATAATTTTCATATTTACTGGACATTTTAAACGAAAATACATACAGCGTGTCCCAAAATTCAACGATAAAACTGTAATGGATGGTAAATATGTTGTTAGTTAAGTTCAAATAAAGCGGTACTGCACCCGGCAGAATATTAGCTTAAAAATGATCAAATATTTAAAATCAGGAGCAAATAAATTCAAAAACGAAATTGCGCTGAATATTTAACTACATGCAAATAATTTTGCATGTAGTTAAATATTCACCATTCCGCAGCTGTCCCTTTCTAAGACCTTATGCGAGCAACCGACATTAGGTTCTAGATTAAAATACTGACAAAACTATACATTATGAATCTTAGTTATTCCTGAAGAGTTAAAGCTGCCAATATGTTGCTTGAATTATTTAATTTTGATAACAATTTTTTTTTAATTTATACCTTACTATTCCAGAACCTTCTGAGCAGAAGTGGTACAACGGACGAGCAAATAAAATGGGAGGCGATCGCGACCGCGCGCGGTCTGTGTACACTCAACGACACATGCACTTGCAGCGATTGTACCACGGCCAAATACCTCGTGGGATTCAATGATGGTGACGCAGGGATGGCAGCCACACCACTCCTCAGCGCTATCAGTGTTGGATGTACTCTGCAGTGAGCAAGATTGAACCCGACTGTACAGTCAACTGCATAAATATGTAAACAGGAAACTTACACAAGCCGCCGGTTTCAAAAATACTATAGCATGTAAGGTCGGAAGCGTACGGGCTGCCTGCATAGTTTGTAAATGTATACACTTGTGCAGCTGACTGTATTCAACCGACCGCAATGTACAGTATGAGCGTGACGGTATGACAGTCGTTTGCACTGTACAGAGTGAGCGTATGTACACACAGCATTTGTACACTGCACTGTACCATGTGGAAGTAATTTAGCTGGTATTATACTCTTTATAAATGTCTACTGCACTGTACTATTAACTTTTTTATTTACCATATTTCAAATATTACAATAGCTTTACTGTGCATAATTATAATATAATATTGTATACAGTGAAGTTTTTGATTAGAATTGTACCTGAATATTTATTACGGTATTGTATAGTACTTTTGTGTTATGTGTGCCTAGTACTTCGATTTGTGACAATCGCCTTCGTTAATGTCAAAATTAGTGTGAGATTTAGTACTTTGCGTCCGATAGGAGTGTTGCACACATTTTGTTGATGACGATACGATGGCTATAGTCACTAATATTCGTGCTAGACCCACAAGTACGAAAAAATGTTACAGCACACTTTTCTACAGAATTTGTATAAAAAAAAATTTCAACGCCTCGTATTATATTAGCCAAAAAACAAAAAAAAATATTAATGACAATTTCTTTGCTATTTGTAGATCGGAATATGTTTATATATAAATTATTGGCGGGAAAAAACGGAGAATTAACAACACAGAGTCACTAATTTGGACTGTTTAGATTTAGTATGTAAAAAGAACATTAAGGGATTGCTAAGTGACCAATAAACTGTTAATAAGGGAGATAGGTATATTTATATTCTACGGAAGGTCTGGATTGTCATAAAAGAATAGACTGATTGTTAGGAATGAATTGATATTGTAAGTTAACGCAATCAAAGCCGCGGGTACGGTATAGTAAGATAGAAAAAGGCAGATAATTAAAAATAAAACTAAATAAGCTTGGTTTACTTTACCCCAAAACATTCGGGGGGAAAATACGAATCGAATGACAAGTAATTCGTCAGAATCGGTTTAGCAGTTTAGGCTACAGGATGTTACAAACATGCAAATCAACATACATACAAAAATAATCACAAATACGCTTTGTCTTTAGGATATTTCATAAAAATCAGTTCATAAATTAATATGCAACATTTTCATTAAAGTAGTTTTTAAACATACTCTATATATTTAGATTTCATATTCTTATTCACAGCAACTACAGGCCTAAATATCGATGCGTTTAGATTTTGTCTCGCTCTTCCTTTGAATACGCGATTCAGTTTTGAAAGAGACAAAAAACATCGCATCGACATCGCTTCGCTTTTGTGTAACACATTCTTTAGTAATATAACTTAAATATTGTAAATATTATTTAGTATATGTAATAAAAGTCATATAATAACTATTTTTAAATTGTAATTTATTAAAAATTTTGTGATTTTTTTAATTACAGTTACTTAACTTTTTAATAGAAAATTAAACGCGATCTTAGAAAACAAATAAGTAGTAGTCAGTCATCAGTTTTTGTTTTTAACGTAAATTTTGTTATCAAATATTCCAAAGTTAGTGTTTTAGCTTATTGTATGTATCTCTGTAGTAGAAAATAAAACCTTAATATTAATTAGCCGTCTAAAAATATCAGAATCATATTTTTAATTTGTTTCTAATCTACATCATTTAAACAGTGGTAGAGCCCGCTTTAACATCTTCGCACGAATTGTCCCGGCCTGCCCGGTGAAATACCACGACCATACAGAAGACAGGCGTCAAGTGGAAGCAATTCCGCCTACAGTCTGATGAGTGTGAATCCCGGAGGCCTAATTTAGTCCTCTTTCCCTTCCCACCCTTTTTCTTATAAGGAAAGGATGGGAAGTGGAAGTGGACTTTCCGGATGAGAAGTTGCACGGGAAAGGAAAATATTTTCTTTCTGTGCATCCTCTCTTCCGTCGTTTAAAGGTAGGCAACTCACATGCAATTCCGTATGTCTATGGGCAACGGTCACTTGGCTATTTCAGTGATTTCAGGTAGCCGCTCGCTCGTTTGCCTCCTTATGACATATAAAAAAATTCATTATTTTTCTTAAACAAAACATGTCTATACATGTCTATGGCCCTTTTCATACTTTTAATTTAAAAAAAAACATCAATTTCTCAAACCTTAACTCTGTTTATGCTAATAAATTAAATCATGTCATAAATAGGAAAGAATTGTTTGTCAATTTTAAATGCAATTAATAAAACAATGATTATAAAACTTTGTAGACCAATCAAACTTTTATGTAGAAATATTACAATTTTACAGTATAGTTTTTATGAGTTTTTATAATATTTATTTATGTATTAAATCGAGATATAAATAAATATATGTTACGGAATACCTTTATACTTGTAAATATTTATACATTTTTTACTCTTGTAGAAATATGAAAATGGTGTTAGTGGAGACTTATATTTATGTATTTTATTATATTATATAATGTAAATTTTTCTCTAAATATGTAGGATTTTATACCATTTACACGTGGGCTTACCAGTAACACTTAAATAAAACGTCTGTGTTAAATGCCAAAGATATTATTTTGTCATGTCTATTTTATATAATCTTTGTTGCTTTTAAAATAGTTTTAGACACTGATCTTTATAAATGGATAGGTCATTGCTTGGAGATGACAGCTTCTGTTTCGTTCTGACTTAAATGCGCCTGTGGATTTCACTGACAATTAATTCTAAATCAAATAGGCACAAATTACAACGGTTTCTAGCCTGTTCAAACTTTCGTGAGACATTATACTAAACTTATATAAAAACGGCGAAAAACTCAAGTTTATTCGTCCGGTGGCGGCACCGACTAGTTTCGATCCCAGCGGGGGCTCTTCATCAGGATTAGTGGTTCTGGTATTATTTCAGTGAGTGACAGGCCGCGTCCGCGAAATAATATAATACCAGTACCACTCATCCTGATGAAGGGCCCCCGCTGGGCTCGAAAGTAGTTAATGCCGCCGCCGGACGAATAAACTTGAGTTTTTCGCCGTTTTTATATCTGTTTGGTTTCTAGCCTGTTCATATATAGAGGTCAGTGACTTTAGAATATAACAGGCAATATTAAGGCCCTTCGTATACAAGGCAACGTAAAACAAAAGTAAGATTGTATAACTGCGTGTCTAGAATCGTGTTGTGGGATTTGCTCCGCCATTTTGAAAATTACAGCGATTCCTCTCAACTTAACAGATAGACAGAAAATGTCGGCGACGCATGTTGTGTACCAACCGGTTTTACGTTTTATTACGTAAGTTACGTAGAGAGTAACATCGCCGAGTTTCGAAGATTTACGTTGCCTTGACGCAGGACCTTTTGGGTTCAGCCAGTTCCAAATTAAAGCCTTAATAATGTTAACAGAGAAACGTCAAAGAAAATGTTTTTTTTTCAATTTAAGATATTTAGCGAATAATGTACGGTTTATTAGTTGACAATATTTTAACTTTAATTTGCAACATGAGTTAATGTAACGAAATAGTTCTTATTTATCTCATTTTAGAAAGGTTCCTATTACTATCGCTTGTACGTGCGTACGTATTTATACTTGCCTAGTCACTTCCAATAGGTTATTTTTAAAAAAATCTATGTGTTAGTGAAATTATATTTGTGTGCATATTCGTATATCGATGTTTATTAGCTGTGATTAATCAAGTTTTTACGTTTTGATTAAATGTTAGAAGTGATTATGTCTTATTATTTTCCTAAACGAAAAAACAAAGGTTAGTTTCCAAACCGTGCAATGCAATAGCTAGTTTGCTATAAACGGTTATATTATAAGCACGTGCATTGTTCAACGTCAAAGAAAAACAAAAAACAATCAAATGTTCTATAACATTTTTTTTTTTCGTGATATTAATAAGGGAAATAAAATAAAACTAACGATGAAACATTTTTACATTTCTTTATACCATTTATTAACACAACTACATTAATAAAATAGCCTGAATGTAATTTAGATTATTAATAATTAAAATCCTTGAAATAATTCCACCCAGCCTGGATCTTATTTCAGTGAATGTGTTACCGTAAAATTAAAATAGATTTATTTTATTATAATAACAAATATAATTAATTTAAACTATAATAATAAAGAAGGATAATATTTTGACATCATTTTAAGTTATTTGTGTTGTTGTTTAGTCGACGTTTGTTAGATTTACTTATAGCCGAGGTTCTTGAAGATGCCTTCGTTCATCGCGTGTTCGAAAAACGGACTTTCCCTGAAGATAACGGACGCATCTGATATGTGCATTTGACGTTTTCCATATCTAAAACAAAGAAGTAATTATTAGCTGCCACCATACTTCGTCCGAATACGTGAAACGCCTATGTGTCCTTCCAGACTATGTTCTAAATGTGTGCCAAAATTCATCAAAATCCGTTCAGCCATTTCGGAGATATCTTCAAACAAACATCCATCCATCCATTTAAACCTTGGATTTATAATATTAGTAATAGCAGATAAGGAAAGGAGCGTTGGTGGCTCAGTGGTCAAGCACTTGACTTGCAATCTGCAGGTCCTGGGTTCGAATCCCGCCATGTACCAATGTGTTTTTCGATTTCTGATTTACATATGTATGTACATTTATCCGACGTTCTTACGGTGAAGGAAAACATCGTGATGCAACCTGCACATATCTGAGAAGTAATTCAAAGATATGTGTGAAATCACCCTTAACTTAGGGTAGGCTCCGAGCCCCTCGGTGAGGAAGTATAGTCAGCTGATGATGAATAGCAGATATTTAGCAAAATAATGTTACCGCTTGCAAGCTTTCAACCTTTTGATTGGCAAGAAACAAGCTACTACTGCGAGTTCCTACCACCTTACTCTTTCTTTTTCTTTATCTAATCTGAAAGTAACACTTTCCACGTATATGTAAGCATTGACTTTATAGCAGTTGTGATTTAATACAAATGAATTGCGTGTTACTTTAATTTATAACGTAATTAAAACCAATGCTATTATATAATAACATTCAAACTTTACGGTATCATTGGGTGTGCTGCCGCATGTTATTTTCCTACCATTTTCTATGCGTTTACGATATGTCAAGCAGGTATAAAGTTAGGATCGTATTGTACCTGCCCCTGCCATGCACAGAGTAATATTCCTGCAGTTCCTTGAGATAATTGGAGATCTGTTCAGCAGTGTCGAAGCGCTCGGGACGACGGGGGCGCGGATATTGCGCCTGCGCCGCACACAGCAACATCACCGACAGGAACAACATGGCGGCAATCAGGAGACGCATTCTTGCTGTAAATTTATAAAACATTTGGTTTTTATATCATTCTGCGCATTGTAATAGCTTATACTTAATTAAAAAAATAATAACACTATCAAACTCTTTGGATGTTTGAATTTCAGACCTTAGCAACTGGTGAAAAACTTTTATATAATACTAAATGTTGGAAAGGGGAAGTGGATTTTGTAGCGAACGTATGGGAATGGGGAATAACCTTTTTCTGTGCGCATCTTTCTCTGTAGAAATGTAGGCAACGAATACACAAATGCAGATGTCTGTAGGCAATGATCGTTGGTTTTTGTTAGTTTTGTTATTACAATTAGTTTATGTATTGTTAAGGATATTGCTAGATAAATAGCATTTCAAAATTAGGCTTTGATCTCATGTAGAAATATAGGACAAACTATACTTTTAATTACAACTTATGAACGAATTTCTATCAAAGTTTGTAAAAGCTTATATAAAGGTCAGTTGCGATAACGTACTGGAAGTGACCTTTTGAAGTAAGGATGTGCCTGACACACTTCCAGCGCGGTATCGATTCAATTACAAAATTATCGATATCACAGATAGCTCGCTGATCTCTTGATCACTTTATAATTGTCAAATCGATGTTTTATTTGACAGCTGTTTACATTATTAAATGAACGGGGCTTCGTTTGAACTTAGGTATGTCGGAGTAGAAAATTGGAAGGTATATGCTCGATACAGTAGCTATGTAACGAGACAGCAAACGAGAAAACGATGAAAAAAATATTTACAAGGAGAGAAATATCACGGTAGGTTACCGTGACATTTATACGAAATTATTCCTATTAGCCTTTAGCGAAATCTCTCTTTTATGACCATATCCAATAATTAATTCTAAGATAAATAAAAATATCTTACTAATATTATAAATGCGAAAGTTAAGATTGATTTTTTTTCTTTTATATCAGAAAGCGGCAAACGAGCGAGCGGCCACCTGAAATCGCTGAAATAGCGAAGTGACCGTTGCCCATAGACATACGCAATTGCATATGCGTTGCCTTCCTTTAATCGACGGAGGAGAGGATGCACAGAGAGAAAATATCTTCCCTTTCCATGCATCCTATCATTTGGAAAGTCCATTTCCACTTCCCACATCCTTTCCTTATAAGAAAAAGGGTGGGAAAAGAAAGAGGACTCAATTAGGCCTCCAGAACGCACACTCTTCAGACGAAACGCGGAATTGCTTCAACTTCACGCCTGTCTTCTGTGTGGTCGTGATATTTCACCGGGCGAGCCGGGACAATTCGTGCGAAGATGTTAAAGCGGGCTCTACCACTGTTAATTTTGGCACTGATATAGAACATTCTGCAAGTAAACACAGGCTACTAATTGTTTTTTTTAATTCCGCGCGAATTTTGATGAACGCTGGCGGTTTAGCGGGCGACTGCTATTAATTGATACTTTCTTGAAGTATGAAGTACAACCATAAATAAAGAATATATTACTGATTAGCTGTAGCGACTCCGTCCTCGCGGGATTAAAAAAAAAACTTAATAAGTACCCTATGTGTGTCAGATTATGTTCTACATCTGTGCCGAATTTCATTAAGATCCGTTAAGCCGTTCTGTAAATAACTTCAAACAAAAAACCATCCATTTTAACTTTTGCATTTATAATATTAGTAGGGTGGTTTGTAGAAATTATTACTTATAAACTGTGTTACTTAAGTTACATACGACACAATTTTCATCGTTACATTACGAACTTTGTAAAAAATCTTAAATCTCTACTTAAAAGTTTCATAGTTTTGAAAACTTTTGAATACATTTCGTAAGATGCAAAGTTACTCTAACAATCGTACGAAAAAGTAGTTGGAACTTAAAATTTCATAAGAAAACACGTGACCGAATTAGAATTATAAGTACAAAGTAAGTAGAAATAGTTAGTAAGTTTAAGATATTATACGGAATCGTCAGATTAAAGATTTATACGTTATGATTGCCTTTCTTCTTGAAGTTACAATTTCTTAGTCTCAATCATCTGGGTCACACTCTTGAAACTACGGCTTTGAACAGGGAACCGTGTTCGAATCACTGAAGCAAATTCTTAACCAAGATATTGTTCTAAGATCTTAGACTTTAGGCCTTAGTAATCTACCCGTATTATCGTGGGTTTCTGAATCTGATATCACCGTTAAATTATCTCTGTTTTGTTAAAGACGGACAGGGATGACGATACATTTTGTATAATGATTTTGAATTCAGAAACCCAAGGTTAATGGTTTGAACGGAATATCTATTCTATGGATAACCTCAAAAACTAACAAATATTTTTTTTTTATATCATAAGGCGGCAAACGAGCGAGCGGCCACCTGAAATCGCTGAAATAGCGAAGTGACCGTTGCCCATAGACATACGCAATTGCATATGCGTTGCCTACGTTAAATCGACGGAGGAGAGGATGCAAAGAAAGAAAAAAAAATCCCTTTCCATGCATCTTCTCATCCGGAAAGTCCACTTCCACTTCCCATCCTTTCCTTATAAGAAAAAGGGTGGGAAGGGAAGGACTAAATTAGGCCTCCGGGACTCATCATCAGACTGTAGGCGGAATTGCTTCCACTTGACGCCTGTCTTCTGTATAGTCGTGGTATTTCACCGGGCAGGCCGGGACAATTCGTGCGAAGATGTTAAAGCGGGCTCTACCACTGTTAAATAATTTAAATAATTTGAACATTGGATACAGATTTAATAAATTTAAACTTGTGAATGTTCATCCTACTATTAACAAAGCTCTTCATAATTGTATCCACTTTCAATTACCTAATGAGGTATATTGAGATATTTAAGGCCGGACAAACGTTTGCGCGCCGCCATGTTTGCTCAGCTCTTGATGCTATCGACAACGTGATGTAAAATATCATTTTAGTCACGATTACTAGACCGCAATAATGTTGGCATTTACCTAATTAGTTGATGTATTGTTAATCTGTATTATCAGGGAACTATTGTTTTATGAACATAGTTATCTTATTTTTAAATTGCGACACATTTAAAGCGTAAATAGCTTAATGAAAGACGCGGTATTGTTCGAATATATTTTATAATTTGAGTAATATGAACCATATCCTAACATAAAACTAGATTGAAACTAGAATGAAATTATTTAAATTTATTAAAAAGAAAATCTATTTACAATATACATTATAAACGTTAATAGTTACATAAATCAAATTTTAATTAATCTAGCAACGGAACTAAGAAGAAATCTAGTTATAAATATATCCTATGTCGTTTAGAGCGTCGGTGGCTCAAGGGTCAAGCACTTCCTGGGTTCGAACCCCGCCATGTACCAATGTGTTTTTCCATTTCCGATTTACATATGTACATTTATCTGACGTTGTTACGGTGATGGAAAACATCGTAATGCAACTTGCACATATCTGAAAAGAAATTCAAAGATATGTGTGAAGTCAACCCGCACTTGGCCAGCGTGGTTGACTATGGCCTAGTCACCCTTAACTTAGGGTAGGCTCCGAGCCCCTCGGTAGGGACTTATAGAATTTTTTAAATTGGTTCAATAATTTCGTAGCATATTCAATGCAAATAAATCTTTCCTCTTTTAATATTAGTATAGCATATTAGTATTGTTAGGAAGAAAATCCGGAAATGACAGTGTATGTACTCAACACTAGCCTTACTAAAATATCGACGTCTGTGTCCCCTCACTAATCATTCTGACATTTGCCTTTGTAACGAGAGCACGTCATTCAATATAAATATAGATTAAATAGCGCCCATTTCCAATACTTATTATAAAAAAAAACATTAATAGTGTAATAGAAGTCTTCAATTAAAGTATTTTAAAGTTTAAGCACATCATGATTTGAGACAAATTACAGTATCATTTGCATTGACAAAGTCATTAATATACGTACTACTTGTAAAATATTGTATTATTATTGTTTATGAAAGGCACAAAATGCATTTAATAATGTAACCAGGCTACTTTCGAACCGCAGTCTTCTAAGCGTTATATCTCGGCACTATATTGTTTCATAAATCAATGAAAATAACCCGAGACGTCAGCCCACGGCTATTTATTTTATTATATCTTTTTTTAAATTATTTACATCATTTATCGTCTTTTGAGGGATATTTTAGTTTAATAAAGTTTTGATTAACCTTCTATCCTTGGGAATGATTGATCTATAGTAATACTAGCTGTCAACCGCGACTTCTTCCGCGCGGCATTTTTTTTAATAAGTAAGCCTATGTGTTCTTCCAGACTATATTCTACATTTCCATTTCACCCAGATGCATGCAGACGTTCTGGAGATACCTTCAAACAAACATCCATCCATCCAAACATTCGCATTTATAATATTAGTAAGATAGGATTATAAAGAAGAAAGATTTGATTGTTTACATTGAATAGGCTACGAAAGTAATGAACCGGTTTGAAACAGACTTTCATTGTTGGGAAACTATACTATCCCTGGGTTACATCTATATTTATTGCTAGATTAAAAAAAATAAGTATAAAATAAACAATTCCAATATACTAGATTTTTTATAACTACTTATGTTATTATAAAACTATTTATTAACGTGTAAGGTTATAAGATATTTTTTAAATATTGTTTTTAATCACGAAATAATATAGAAGCGCGTCAAATTAGACCGCCCGTAGCATATTTTTTCTTAACCTTTTAATAAATCCTTGAGGTGAAAACGTGCAGCGTTCAGTGGTTAGGGTTGGGATGATATATCGATATTGTTAATTCTTTGATTGATATCGATAGTGAAGAAAATTGATGGCAATTGAGAACTAGGAACCAAATATTAAGTATGCACCGTTAAAATCGTCCCCAACACTATTGTAAGTTCTCTTGTTTCTCTTGGAACTTCTCTTCTCGAGTGAATGTGGTTTGTCAAAACTGAACAGTTTTTTTTTCAGCAAAATTATAGGAATATCGATGCCAACTAAACAAATGTTGATTTTTTTATTTGTTTGAAGAAATAATGTGTTCATACTTAATTA